GATGTTTAAAGTGCTATAAAAGTGCTTTCATTATGTAGTGTGGACTAGTCATTCTTTGGAATGTTCTGACGCAGTTCTGAGCTAAAAACAACAGCGACATAAAACTTTGTTTGGTAATGCATAATTTGAGAGACAGTGTGTAAGAAATCCATGTTTAGAAACATGTTTAACATGTGGCAAATTGTGCAGATTTTAAAAAATTTTGTTTTTAAAATTATGGATTAAAAAATGGTAATGGGGTGGAGTAGACTAATGAGTGAACTTATGCCAAAATTGCCTAGTCCTCAGGCAAGTTTCCTCCATCCCTCAATAAACTACTGAGATGACACATTTTGACATCTCCAGCCCCCTAACCAGGCATGTCCAACTCCCAAGAGGCTGCGATCACTCACTAAAAAAGAAATCCACCCATTAGATTGACCTAAGTTGTTGAGCTTTTTGGGGGGAGGAAGACCCAAAGTTGTTGAGCGTTTTTGACAGAGAGAGAGAGGTGGATCGGGGTCATGGAATCGACTACGATTGACCAGTAGATCCGTGATTGACCAGTAGATCGTGATTGACCAGCTGGACATGCCTGCCTTAGACAATGAAAATTTAATAACAATATGCGTCTACCTGTAGGGCATATGGAATTAAGTGACTGGTAGTAACTGAAGCGTGTTTTGAAATCTAGGTCCACCAGCTCCCCCTCAAGACATCAGAATTCAGGCTGGGCCGACGCCAGGAACGATCCTGGTTTCATGGAAGCCACCAATTCTCACAGCAACAGGGACCTCCAATGGAGCCAACGTAACCGGTTATGGAGTTTATGCAAAAGGCCAAAGGGTAGGTGGGATTTTCCACTTCGTTGGTGATGACCCACATGCCTTGATTCCCAGAGTGGGTTTAACAGTCCATTCTCCTCCCAGGGAACTCTGGGAATTGTAGCCCTGGGAAGGGAGTGGGGATCTCCTGACAACTCTCAGCAGTGATTTTTTTCTGGGGGTACTCAATGGTACACAGTACCAGCACCATTTTTTTCTAGAAAAAAAAAGCATTTCTCAGCAGCCTCAACAAACAGTTCCTGTGATTCTTTGGGGGAGGAAGCCATGACTCTTTAGAGTGGCACAATACTGCTTTAAATGTATACTGCAGATGGGGCCCTTTTCTCCCCCTTTCTATGGGCTCATCCACAATGCCCCACAACAGCTACTCACTGTGGGTTATAGTAAAGCAAACAGTCTAAATTTGCCAACACCAAAATGATACTGAGCATCAGACAAACTTGGCACAATAAGGAAATTTTGCCCATGGTACGACCATTTTCCATCCTGCCACTTTGATTCTCTGTCACCCTATCTGTATAACCTAGCAACTCCAAAATATAGATGTGCTTTTACCCTTGCAAGATTGAATGTATTGCCCTCGGCTGTACTTGAGGGACGATTCCAACAGATTCCATACAAAAAACGCTTATGTCCCTGTGGAGATGGCAGCACCAAATCAGTGGTGCCTGCCCTCCTGGCTTGCACTTTTTATAAAGGTCTGAGGAATGAGATTATTACTCCTCTTTTATTGACCATTCCGGGTTGCCCTACCACTGCCATTGTGTCCTTTCTCCTGGCAGATCAAGAGGAGCAGATGACTGCAAAGGTTGCAAGGTTTTAGCTGGGGCAATCAGAATAAGGTCCACTATTTGACTGCTGATTCAGGTCCCTAAACTCTGTTTTATATAAGCGACTTTTTATTTTGTTCTGTGTATACCACAATGTTCTTTCGTTGCTATGGCCGATGGCTGATGCAAATAAAGTTTTATTCATTCAATGCCACTTGCCCCGTGATTTCTAGACATGGGTCCGAAAGGTTTTTTCATTTTGTCCTGCCACTTTCCTTGGGGAAACCCACCACTTACTGCTGAATCAGAACAAACGTCTATCAAATGGACATTTGCTGTGACTTAGCGGTAAACAGTGGCTTTTCCCAGGGAAAGCGGTGGAACAAAAGAAGAATCTCTCAGACCAGTGCGTAGAAATCACGGGACAAACCTAAGTGTGGATGAGCCCTAGGTTAGGCAGCTGAAGGAAAGAAAACTTCATGTAAAAACCAAGAGTGTTTGTGTGTGCGTGCACGCACTGAACTCAGTTCTTGTGCTAAAAACAAATTGCATATGCAGTTGAAGTTGAGCATGTGTGATTAATTTGAAGTGTAATGTCTGCCATCCTGCCCCTATCGAGCCACAGTTTTGCACATGGATGCTGTTGGTAGAACTTTAGTTAGAGTTATTTGAGCGGAACCCCTGGTCTGAACCTTTTGCAGAGTAGAAATTAATATGCTCCACACCACAAGAAAAGGTTCCAAAAGGCGTTACTGCAAACAGTCTTAAACGAGTTGCAAAATATATGTTGCAAGACTATAAAGTAACACATTCTCCTTAAGCAAACTAGCAATGCAGTCCAGTCTTCTTTAAGCCCTTAATACAGTCCAAGAACCTTCCTTTCTCCAGTCCCAGAGAGAGATCCTACACAAACAGAAACGTTGAGCTAGTGCCTACTGAGACAGTTTCTCAGGGATGGGTCATAACTTAGCATAAACGCTGAAATGGAAATCTCCAGCCTTATATCACCATAATTAACTGAAGTTAAACCTCCTGCCTAATGCAAACCTATACATAAGTTTTAAACTTCAACACACACAAACATAACATTCTATGCATACTAAACTTATAACTTTAGCAGACCTCAGGGTCCTAGCAAAAAAAAAAAGTCAAAGTAGATGCTGTAAGATAGAAGTGTGCCCACCTCTGTCTCATATAGGGCTACTGTTCAGTCCTATTGGAGTGTTCTACCCGTCTTCTGTACTAGTTTGAGGGCCCTTCCTTCCTTTCCCATCTAGGCATGGCAGCAGAAGAACTTGGCTCCTTCTCAACTTGGCCTTTGTGTTTTATACATCCGATTAGGTGGCAGAAGTTATCTTTCCTATGGCTGAGAACACCGTCGTGGAGCTCATGAGAATCCGGAGCCTGGAAGCCAGGGAAGTTCTCGTCCGGACACTTTCTGTCCAAGGGGAATCGGTGGACTCGCTGGGCGCCGCCATTCCACCTGACCTACTGGTGCCTCCAACCCCTCACCCTCGGCCAGCTCCCAAATCTAAGCCATTACCAAGTGCCGGCATCCCAGATACCAAAGACGAACATTTGTGTCCGCATGTGAAAAGGGATGAGTCGTGGGAGCAGGGCCGCGTGGCGTCTCCAATCCACGGACACACCCTGGAGCCTCCCAACTTCCACAGCCCACTCCAGGGCAGGCGGTCTCCTTCCCCAAACCGAATACTCCCTCAACCACAAGGCGCGCCCGTCCCCAACACAGTCGCAAAGGCCATGGCCAGGGAGGCTGCTCAGCGCGTCGCAGCGGAGAGCAGCAGGGTGAGTAGAACTCGCCGCATCTGACACCCACAACCACACAAAACTGGCAGCAAAACCCGATCTTGGGCCATGTCACACATACACTTCCTTCATGGATGCAGTATCCACAGGTGATTTTCATATGTGAATGGCCCTCTGTGGGTCTGGTCTACACATGCAAGCAGAACAGCATAGCAGGGGTAGCCAACATGGTCCCTCTAGATCAACCTGTGGGTCCCCAGATGTTGTTGGACTACAACTCCCATCACCCCTAGCTAGCAAGGCCAGAGCTCAGGGATGATGAGAGTTGTAGTCCAACAACATCTGGGGACCCACAGGTTGAGAACTGCTGCTCTAGATACTGGTGAACTGATGGTTAGATGGCCCTTGGGGTCCCTTCCAACTCTACAATTCTATGTGTGAAGGGTTCAATATGACCCTGCCTACCCATGGAAGTGAGGGACATGGGTGGCACTGTCGTCTAAACCACTGAGCCTTGGGCTTGAGGATCGGAAGGTCAGCGGTTCGAATCCCCGCGATGGGGTGAGCTCCCGTTGTTCGGTCCCAGCTCCTGCCAACCTAGCAGTTCGAAAGCACGTCAAAGTGCAAGTAGATTAATAGGTACCACTCCAGCGGGAAGGTAAATGGCGTTTCTGCGCGCTGCTCTGGTGTCAGTGTTCCATTGCGCCAGAAGCGGCTTAGTCATGCTGGCCACATGACCCGGAAAAACTGTCTGCGGACAAACGCCGGCTCCCTCGGCCTGTAAAACAAGATGAGCACCGCAACCCCAGAGTCATCCATGACTGGACTAACTGTCAGGGGTCCCTTTACCTTTACCTTTACCCATGGAAGCAGAATGAGATAGCAGAGTAGGGGTAACCAATGCGGTCCCTGTCAGATGTTGTTGGACTCCAACTTCCATCAGCCGCAGCCAGCATGGGCAATGGTAAGAAGTGATAGGAGGCAAGCATCATCTAGAGGCCACCCCATTGGATATTCCTCTGGAAGAGTTATGACTGGCAGCTAGCTGTTGGGCACCCCACTCCAAGCACATGCATCCACTTACTTGGATGGAGCTGGGGAGGAAGCTGGGAATATAGCCAATGAAGGAGAGAATTTTTTCTTTTCTTTTTTTAACAATGATTTTGGTTGGTGGGCCTTGAGAGGGGAGCAAGCAGGTACACTTGGGAAACATGCTGTTGCTTTGAGGAACCTGGTAGTGCTATTAAAAACAGTGCTATCTACCTACTTTTCCCTGTGCCTTTTAAATCTGTAAATCAACAGATATAGCGCACACCCAAAGTCCCCCAATGTCCTCACGTGACACTGTAGGGCAGAGATGGAGAACCGGTAGCCCTCCAACCATCGTTGTACTTCATCTCCCATCAGCCCTAGCTAACATGTCCAACAATGAGGGATGATGAGAGTTGTAGTCCAGAAATATCTGGAGGGCCATAATTTTCCCCATCCCTGATATAGGTTCCTGCCCTTAAACCTCCTACCAACTGGGGAAATGAGGAGCCCCAAAGCAATGTGAATGTGTTGAAGAATCATAGAACTGCAGAGTTGGAAGGGACCGTGAGGGTCATCTAGTCCAACCCCCTGCAATGCAGGAATCTGCTGCCCAGCATGGGGCTCGAACCTATGGTCCTGAGATTAAGAGTCTTGCACTCTACCAACTGAGCAACCAAGACTGTGCAGATTAAATGGGCTTCCTTTCAGTTCAAACTGAATTGAATGCCTTCCCCATCCCTACCACCAGAGCACACAGACCTCACATCCAATTTCCCCACCATCCTTAGAGAGGAGCTCTTCCCTCACTGCACTCCCTGTTCTCGACTCCACAGCTGGAGAGAAGGAGTGTGTTCAGTGAAAGGAGCGGCGCTGCGCATTACGCAAACTCTGACGAAGAAGAAGATGGCTATGACTCGCCGCGTGTCAAGAGGAGAGGGGCTTCCGTTGATGATTTCTTAAAAGGCTCCGAGCTCGGGAAGCAGGTAACTGGTGCAACTGCAGCAGCTTGAGCGTCAGGCGTGTGCCATAGTCACGGCGTAAAGAAACTTGCTTGCTTGTGTGTGCTTTAAAACAAGTGCTACACCATCCCCAGGATGGTGTAGTCTGCAGCTGGTGTTGGAGAGTCCTTTGGTTTCACAAATGCCTGCAGCCCTGGTGGTGGTGCTGAGGTTCTTGGGAGCTGCCCCACCTCAACCTCTTGAGGTTGGCCTTGATTTGAATTTTGAAAGTCGCATCTTGCTTTGTTCGCCCCTCTTTCTCCCTCTCCCCCCACCCCACCCCCCAACAGCCCCACTATTGCCATGGGGAGGAGTACCATACTGAGAGCAGCCGGGGCTCGGACCTGTCTGACATCATGGAAGAAGACGAGGAAGAGCTGTACTCAGAGATGCAGATGGAGGATGGAGGGAGGAGGCGAGTCAGTATAACATCGCATAACACTCTCAAGGTAAAAAGCAACTATGAGATGGGGAAATCCTCTATGCAAAGGATAGGACAGAGAAAGAAAGAGGAGCTGCTGACTTACTCGAGAGTAGGCTTGGATGGTCCAAAGGTTTCATGGACTAGCAGCGTCTTCAAATGAAGAAGAATGTGGTTGGAGATCCTAGGCCACCACGCTGTATACAAAAACAGCCAGAGACTTCCCAACTATTACCTCAAATCCTCACTAAGGAATCACATTCTATATAATTTCAAATTTCTGCCCCTTATCAGCCCTGCTGCCCCAAGAAAAACCAGGCACACAGTCACACATATTCCTAGAATTACCTTGCTGGCAGGAACCAGGTACTTCAAAACAGGCCAATCCCATCTCTGTGCACCCCTTCCAGTCTGCCACATGCCAGGGAAATATTTTCTTCAGGCGTAGTTTGTATTCTTTTGCCTTGAACATCTAACAGAAAGCCAATTTCAAATAATGTTAAGCTTAAAAAGTTGGGTGCTCTTTAAAACAAGGAGCAGAGACATATGAAAACCAACACCTCTCCTACCTTGGAGCTCTCCCTGGTGCTGATTCTTCTGCCTTCCTGTTGGTAATTTATCTAGCATCTGGTAGGTACCAAAATGTTAATCCCCTTAAAACTGGGTGTCACAGTGTAGATTTGGTGAGTCAATTCATAAGATATCCTTCAAAACAGCACACAGTTTAGATAGGTACGCAGCTAAACAGGAAGATGACAATATCCTAGTTGATCACTGGGCATTTGTAGTCCTCTTCCTCCTTCAATGGAAAAGGATCATTAATGTGCCTTCTAGGAATTATTCTCAGCATGCAAATGCATGCTAGTAAGTTTCTGTTCTTCATCTAGCTTCTTTTAATGTGTGGACAGGACAGGAGATTTTGCACTGAGATAAATCTATCTGAAGAGCGCAGTCTACAGATTGGAGGAAAGCAGAGGGGAGAGTTATGCCATAGGCAAATACCCCATCCTCCCCACATACCAAAGGAGACCTCCTGTGCAGCATCCACTTCTTTGTTCCAAGTGCCTGGTTTTCAGTTCTTTGTTAGAGCCTCAATATATCAGCCTGCTGTATTGACATCCTTGCACTAAATACAACACTGAGCAACTTCCTAATCATGTCTTTTATTTTCACAGATTCCCATTCAAAGCATGACATCTTTCCTCACTGAATAAAAGCTGCATGCTTTCTGTTCGCCATTGCTCTAAAACTAATTCTGTCTTTATTTTTTTTCTTTCCTCCCTCCTTCCTCTTTTTTTTTTTTTTTAAATCACACACTTATTTGTTCTCCTCGCCTATTCTTTGGTCCGGTTTCTTTTTTTCTTTTTTAAAAAATCTCACATGCACTTTTAAAGGAATGTTATACGAATAAGAGAATTGAAGCAGCTTTTTTGGAGCAGCCTGATTTTGCCCAGCAGATCCACCACAGTAAAAAGCTGTTCAGTATCCCCGAAGTAGCTGAAGAGGACGGCGATCACTCAGAACTTTTGCACAAGCAGGGTTTAGGGATGGCCCACAAAATGAGGAGCGCAGTAGCTAGAGAGAGTAGATCTGCCAGAGCTTACCACCAAGACCCGCAGCACAACTTCTGGCACCCGGCGAAGCAGAGAATCTTGGAGGATGCAGGCGAGAGAGGTTATACCTACAGCAGGTCTTCCACAAGGAGCCCAGACAGCGGCCTGGACTGCGGCAGCGAGGAAGAGGAATCGCGCTTCAGCTTCCGCAACACCTACGAGGCGGCTTCCGCAAACGTCGCGCCCAGCTGCTGTGCTGCCGGCGGGAGCTGCTCCTGCCGAAAGACGCCGCCCCGGCCCCTGCTTGCCCGCCGCAGGACGCTGACGAGGCAGAGCAGCATTGAAGAAGACTTTGGGGACCCCTTCCCTTCCTTTCTAGAGCCCCAAGGCGAGGAGAGCAAGCCATCTTATTATGAGAGGAAGTGCGAGCCTCACTGGTGTAATAGAGCAGATAATTTGATGCGCGAAGATTATCAGGGAGGCTGGAGTGGCCACTTGGCAGGGAATGACGTTAGGGCACCTTCCGCAAGGCCATCCTACCGAGAGCCCAAAGACCCTCTGGTGTGTTGAAATACAAAAACTTCCTTCTAAACATCTGCTTGCCAAATCAACCTCTTTTCTTCCTTTTTCTCCTTTTTGTTTTCTCAAGAGTCCATCCTCAGCATGTGTCTCTAGCTCCCTGCTCCCGTTCTTATTTTGCGTTTTCTTTCCTCATTCTTTCCCACGTATTTAATTTCTTTTTTTAATCTATGTTGCTTTCACAGGCTTCTTAATGCTTCTGTTTTATTGTTATTTTTAGTATTTTTATTTTTTTAAAAAAAAATCTTGTGCCATAATGAAATGGGACTAATTTGCTTTACAACGATGATTATTATTATTTTAACCCCTCACAGATAATCAATCAACAAAATAGATACTGGCTTTTGTTTTCTCCCTTCCTTTTTTAAAAGGACAACTGAAACTAAATTTTAATTAAGGGTTAGCTGAACTACCATTTTCCTAACATTTGGGGTTGTTCTTTCTTTTATAATTTTTTCCAACAATTTCTTTGTTTCTTTTTTATTGTGCTCCTTAAAATGTAACCACTATGGGGTTTTATATATAACTTGGGGTTTAAACAACCACCGCTGCCAAACACTAACTTTATTTCAAACCCCCCTTTTCTCTCTCTTCTGTTTGTTTAAGGTCTGCTTTAAATATACCATCTTGTCATCTTGTTTTTGCTTCCCTCACTCCTAGACTTTCAAGGACGAATTCTCTTTTTCTTCAACCCTTATCTCTGGGCAAGTACTAAGAACAGTCTCTCTCCTGTCCTGGCCGGTAGCGACAGTGACCCTAGGGCTTTGAGTTAACAAAATTCATTGTGTTTCTATTATCCACCGTCCTCACTCTTAAACAACAAAAACCATCTCTTCTTGCCTTTGAAGTTGCGAACTGCATCTCTGCATGCAGGAGAAAGATACCCCTCTCCAAAAAAATGAGCTTTTGCTCTCCTTGGCTGTTTCAAAACACACACACATACACACACAGCCTGGGAACAGTTGCTGCAGTTCCATATTTAATCCACAAGAGGGGCAGCTATGCTTGCAAAGCCTTTATTTCGTCTGTCATAGACCTCCCTGCTTCCAAATACACCAAGAATGGCTTGCTGGCTTTTTAAGGACTGCAGTAATCCAGAGAATGGGCATGTCAGAAATATTCATCCTCAAATGATGATAGTAGTTTCATCATTAGCTGCTTCTGCATTAACTAGGCCAGCGGTTTATTTTCAGTGGAGTCTCTCTCTCTCTTTTTTAAATAATCCACTAACAAAATTGGTGCCGACCTCTCCCCCAACCCTTCCTTCTCTCCAATTAATGTCGGTTGTTACAAAGCTGACCTCTGAAGAGCCTTAGAAGGTGGTGCCATTTCCAGCAAACTAGCAAGCAGAGTGTGCCAGCCGTGCAATTTTGAAGGGGGAAACAAATAAATTAATTTGAGAAGGTTTTGGGATCTCGTTTTCTTCTTCTCCTCCCCCACTTCCTGCAAGCATTAATGACTTTTAAAAGCCTAGAGGTGGCCACAGACTGAACAGTAGGGGGAAAGGAATGACAGGAGGATGGATGGATGGCGATGCTGCAAAAAAAAACGACAGAGTCTGGCTGGAGTGAATTGAGTAGATCAAATAAATACAGGCTAATCCACTCTTCGCAGCTCTTGGGGAAGAGGCTCAGTCCACTTCGAGGAGGGATCAAAGGGACCGGAAGCATGTTTTAGTGGCAACGACAAAGGCAAAAGAATGTCTTAAAACTCTCCTTTTTTCTGTTCCAATGTGCGACTGTTGTTTGCAAAGTTATGTACCACATCAGGCCAGCAAACTTTTTTTCTTTCGTTTGTTTCTTTCCTTTCCAGGTTTACTGGGCATCTGTCCTCTTCTTTTCAGCTAACCTTTCAGTTAAAAACAAAGTTTAGTTGCCTTTAGAGCTAATGATTGACTTGATTTTCTGTTAATTTCACACACCCTGCCCTCTTCCTCTCCCTGCCCCCCACCCTTTACTGACATGTGTACAGCTGTGTAACTTTTAAACCTGTCTCTCCCCTCCCCTTCTCTCTCTCTCTCTCTTCCTCCCATTTATTTTGGTTCTTAGCTTTTGAGTAACCCATCATCCTCCGGACGACCAGACAGGATGGAGCACCGGGGTCAAAGAATATCTCACAGAAGCTCGGGAGGACCACAGCGGTCGCGGCCCATGCTGGTCCCTTCCATTGGTTAGTTGGCCTGACTGGTACATGTTGTGTTGCTTGTTGGAAGGGAAGCACAGAGATGGGTTGGCAGGAAGGGAAGTCCCCAAATCAAGCTCCTGACCTTGATTTTGATACAGTGGGAAGGAACAGCAATGGCACATTTCTGTCTGCATAGGAATATTCCCACTGGATATTTAGCGTGAGAGACTTTTGGGGAGGAAACTGCCGAGCGGATGAACCACTCTGCTTATCCAACCTGGGTTTGTCACGAGAGGCTGGTGGTAGCATCCTGCCAAGGCTGTACCACTACAGAGTCCTGTCGGTGGGGGCGGGGCAGAGGGCAAGCTGTGTAATTTGGATACTCCTCTATGCCATTCCACTCCTTCTCAGCGAGTACACAAGAGAGAAGGCTCCCAAAGCTTTTCTTCCTGTGTGCTGGCAGGTGCATCAATGCATGGACGCATTTGAACAGGCAGCCCCCATGTCCGCCATGTATATTTTTATGCAATACAGTCCCATGAAGACGGTGTGCCTATATGTCTTCTCTCAATTTTGATAGAATTGGGAGGACTGGGAAATGGGGTGCAAAGCCTTTCTTATTGACCATCTTTCCGTCAGTTCATAGAATCATAGAGGGACCTCAAGGGTCATATGGTGTTCCCCTGCAATGCGGGAACCACAACTAAAGAATCCCCATGGAATTGCAGAGTTGGAAGAGAGTGGAGCAGCTCTTTTAATAAGAAGAGTTTCTTGGCTTTTTATTTTATTTTAAGAGGGACTTTTGCTCCACTTCCACACACAGGAGAATGCCTCTGTACTTTCCACATCATTGTGATTCGTAAATGGTGGGTTTTCAAATTGCAGCACGGCAATTGGATGTGATCGCCCAATATGTCCTGCTCACACCTAGGACAATTTCAGGCTGTGTCAGTGGACACACTGCACTTGGTGAAAACAAACTGGTGTGTGGCTGTATTGGATGTACACACAGGTCCCACTTTCTGAACGCTCGCTATGTGAAAGTTCACTTATCTGAACACAAGGAATTCGTACCCCCAGACTTGCTCTACATACTGCAGATTCAGATATCCAAACAGAAAGCATTTTTTACTTCCTTGTTTGCCTTTTGCTGGTTGGCTGAGGATCAGAGGGAGGGGGAATGAGCAGACAAACAGACAGCATTTTTCGGGACAAAAATCTGTGATTGGGAACACATTAGAAACTTCCCCATAGGAATCAATGGAAATTGTCAACTTGTTATGCAAACACACTGTGTTTGGAAAGCGGGACCTGCATGTACCTACAGCACAAGCTGAAACTAGATTAGCCTTTCTCCATGGATCCCCGGGGGGATGATATTATCTAAAGGAGCTCAGACAAAGGATTTGATCTCTCAGCAAACTATCAGCCAAACTAGATGCTATTTGCTACTTACATGTTATTTTACCCACCCTTTACAAAAAGAAAACACCTGAAAGCAGCTTCCAAAGGCTGCAGAACTGAGTGAAGGAATGGAAAGGGCTGCTTAAAATCACCCTCCATCCCCCCCTGCCCCCACTGCTTTTTCCCCTACAAGGGAAAAATATGGGATGCAACAAATCAGTGGGGGCTGGTCCCTTAAGATGAGTGGAGCACAACTCCAACAGCCTCAGTTGGCGCTCATTCAACTCCTACCTGTCTCTTCTTACTTACAACTAAATGTGGGAAGGCCTGGGAAGGCCTGGGGTGGGGGAACGGGGGGGGGCGATATGTGGAATATTAAAACTATATCAAACTGGTTTTTGTTTTTATTTTTCCGGGAGGGAAACGGCTTTGGAAAAAATGGGGGGGACTGGTTTCCCCCCAATTTTTCTGGTTTTTTTCCAGGCCTTCCCATCTCTACTTACAACCAATTCAGGGGTGTGGCTTTGCCTGAGGCAGCTTATTCTTCCTCCTCAATTTCAGTACTTCTGGTGGGAGGAGGATGGGGACGAGGCAAAACTAAAATTAGTTGTCTCTAGGCTGCCATTGGGATGCGGGTGGCACTGTGGTCTAAACCACTGAGCCTTGGGCTTGCCGGTCGGAAGGTCGGCGGTTCAAATCCTCGCGGCGGGGTGAGCTCCCGTTGCTTGGTCCCAGCTCCTGCCAACCTAGCAGTTCGAAAGCACGTCAAAGTGTAAGTAGATAAATAGGTACCACTCCGGCGGGAAGGTAAACAGCATTTCCATGCGCTGCTCTGGTTTCGCCAGAAGCTGCTTAGTCATGCTGGCTGCATGACTCGGAAAAACTGTCTGCAGACAAACCTCGGCTCCCTTGGCCAGTAAAGTGAGATGAGCGCCACAACCCCAGAGTCATTCACGACTGGACTTAACTGTCAGGGGTCCTTTACCTTTACCTTTAGGCTGCCAATGGCTCTGGCTCCCCCTACTGTTGGCCTCCCTGCTTTCCGCTCTACTGGTCCTAATGGGCAGCAGCCACCATGGTAAGAAATAGCCTGTAACTCTGGAGGTGATTTTCAATTGTCAAGATCCTTGTCTGCCTTGTCTGCCCTTCTGCTCAGCCTGAAGGCAGTTTTCCTCAACTTTAAACCATTTATAGCTCACCCCTACCCACCCCCCACTTTTTTTAAAAACCCAGGGGCCATAGTCACCCTGCTCCCAACTAGCCACACTCTCACACAGCTCCTTTCGCATGCACACACATCACACAGATGATTCATGCAGATGAACAATGGACCACAAGCCACTGTTGCCAAAATCAGTGGGGTCTGGTGACAGGGGGTAGAAAGATTTTCTGTGTGAACCATATCAGGCCCCTGGCTAGGGGAAGTATAGCTAGGTTTGTCCGAGAAAACCTATGTCACTTGAACTCTGTTTGATGTGCTGTAGGTGTACGGAATTGCCCTCATCCTCCTCATTGATTCACCCATCAGAGCATCCATCTTCCCATTCCTCTTCATCAGCACATTGCATTTCCCCCCTCCATAATACATGTGTGTGTGTTTTTTGGAGCTTGGTCAAGAGTACCCAACAAGGAAGACCCAACAATCTGAATGAGAAAACTTGAAATATGAATTGTGTCCCTGCGGTTTCCTTTCAGTGGCCTGGCTATCTTTCTTCTGTTCCGCAGAGGGATAAACCAGTTTGAGGCGGCTTCTCCTCACGCACCTCATGTTCTCTGGCAGAGCATGAGGTACCTTTGCCATTTTTCATAAAGGTTAAGTAATCATCACCACCAACAGTAAACTCAAGAGGTTGAGTCCTTGGGCTGAGTCCCAGGGCTGCCGAAATTAAGTCAGGCATTTCTCCATAGTTTGAGGATGCAGAACAATATATACAGTGGTACCTCGCAAGACGAATGCCTCGCAAGACGAAAAACTCGCAAGACGAAAGAGTTTTTCGTTTTTTGAGTTGCTTCGCAAGACGAATTTCCCTATGGGCTTGCTTCGCAAGACGAAAATGTCTTGCAAGTTTGTTTCCTTTTGGATTTTCAATGCATTCCTATGGGAAACCGTGCTTCGCAAGATGAAAAATTCGCAAGACGAAAAAACTCGCAGAACGAATTAATTTCGTCTTGCGAGGCACCACTGTAATTAACAAACAAAAATTTATGAACTAAAAAGTCCACAATGGCCTGAGAGGGACCTGTGAGCTTCCACATTTATAGAATGCCAATGGGAAATTGATCAAACATGGAGAGGCTGAATTTGTACATAGCGATGATACACTATGATTTATTATTACACAAACAAACCTCAGCCTTGTGCCTTCCCCTCATCATTTGCCTGGTGTGTGGTAAGACAGCCAAGTGCCACAGCTTTGGGGTTGGGAGGAACTGCTGACGTATTTTTCGAGGATCCGGTGATATTATTTATTGTGTCTTAGCCCACCATTTCCTCTGAGGAGTTCAGGATAGTGTACATTGTTCCCCTTACATTTTATACCCACAATAACCCCGGCAGGTAGGCTAGGAAGAGAGATAGCGAGTAGCCCAAGTCCGCTCTGCGGGCTTCATGGCAAAGTGAGGATTTGAACACAGATCCCTGAAATCAACACTCTAATGATTGCATTACGCTGGCAGTTTTGCCATGTGAATTACTCTCTCCCCCACCCCACCCAGATCATATGGCTACTTCATCTCACTCAGCTGTTGAGAAGAACCACCTTTCTACCCAAAAAAGAGAGAACAAAATAGCCCAAAGCGTGAATCAGGCCTTACAAAATAAGCGAGGTGATGCGTTTTATTAGATTAGCACGTGCAAGAGGAATTGATGGTGTTCCAGATGTTGGTGGGCTCCAAGGGTGGGTTGATGATTCGAACTCCCATCAGCCCCAGGCAGCACGGCCAACAGCCAGGGATGGTGGGAGCTGGAGCCCAGAAACACCTGGAGGGTACCAGACTAGGTGCGATGGTGGTGTGCTCCCTCCACTGTCAGAAGCAGCCTGCCTTCAGACACCAGTTGTTGGGAAGCCACAGGTGAGGAGAGTGGTGTTTCTGCTCAGGTGCTTCTTCTGGGCTTCTGGGTACCCTGTCGGCTGGGCCAAGATGAGCACTTGGCCTCCCTTCTTAACATTTTTGTGGAATGCTTTGAGGGGCATGGCAGCCAACGTCCCACCCAAAGGGAAACAAGACCTGGGCTGAGAGCCTTGGCATGAGGAAGCCTCTACAAGGGAAGGGTAACCGGAGTCGTGCTTAATAGACCATTCCGTTTTTCTCCATAGAGATTACAATGGACAGTAACAGTGAAGGTGCTCGGTCAGGTAGTGAGGGGCATAGTTCCCCCCTAAGAGAAGATGCTTATTATCGCAGCATTGGCGGACACAGGAAATGGTGCCGGCAACGTACCGTGGCCTCTGACTATAGATACGGTATGCCAAAACCCTTCTTCGTCCTTTGTGCCAAACCAAAAAGGGCTGCTTTTTTCAGAGCTGCGTGTGAAATGAGCGCCATCTCTGTATGTCGACGTTGCATGCCACGCCGAATGCCGAGGCCGCCCCTCCCTCGCCCCCTCTTTGATAAGGCAAGTCTTGTCCTGCTTTCCTTTCCCCTCTTTACGAACAGGTAAGTTTTGCTTAGGGAGGAGAAAGCTTTATGGTCATCTGGCCCCATTCCCTGCCCATGCCATCAGCTTTCCACATTGAAACGAGTCAAAAGCACCCCCCATTGCATGAACCCCATCCTCTCTCTGCCCCCCTCCCCCCCACCTTTCTACTTGGCTGTGCAATCCCAATGGACATGATCCAAGCACATAACTGCTTTCTTGTACCCTCACCTTAAGTGCTTCTGTTGCCGAAATGCAGGTGCAGGATGCTCAAGTGGGAGCCAATCGACAATACCAGGGCAGTGAGCAGATTCTGATCATGCAGCCCCGTGACACACCATTGCTTTGGGGGGAAATCCTAATAACTTGGTGGGAGGTGTGTCCAAGAAAGCATGCACATGGTTAGGCTTTCTCTCTGAGAATTTCAAATTTAATTAATGTCCAAGTCTGGCAGAATCCTGCATGCGGATAGGATTTGGTTCACCTCTGAAAATGTCATGGAGCCCCGCTGTTAGTGGAGCTCAGATCTGAACGTCAGGCCTCCCTGCTACCAAAATGGCGCTGAGGCCATGTAGACCAATACCAAGCACTGCCGAAATCAACGGGACTTGCTTGCAAGAAGGGTGTGGTCTTGATTCAAAACAGGGATGCTTTTATCTCTGAGCATTCTGGAGGCGTGTAATGCAACGCAGTGCAAACTCAAGAATGGGGGAGAACAGAAAAGAATTATTACAAGGAGGTAAATCCTCTTTTCCCTGGGCACAGGCCACATCCCAGAGGCATCTTGCCGCCATTTTGTTTTGGGAAGCGTTAAGTGGGGAGGCACCATGAAAATGAATTTGTTTTCATTCCTCAGTGGGCCTAATAAAAGTAAACTTTTGTGCACCTAGGTGGAGAACTTGTGGTTCTCCAAATGTTGTTGCATTACAACTCCCATCATCCCTGACTACTGGCCATGTTGGCAGAAGTCAATGGGAGTTGAACAACATCTGGAGAGCCACAGGTTCCCCATCCCATGGCCTAGAGTCTCCCTCTCTTTCTTTCCCCACCATCTTGGTTTGGCAACTTACTTCTGGTGTGTGCATGTGTGTGTCTGTGTTTAGGGGGTGTGGTCCTCATATACCCCTCTGTCCCATATGCTACCCCCTTGTCCACATTCCCACCTGCTTTACAAGAAAAAGCAAATACAAAGAACAAATGCAAGGCTTTGGGGCTGGCCTTCCTTCCCCTCATTGTCTGGCTGCCATGCATTTTGTCTGCCCTCCTGCTGCTTGGAAATGACGTTTCAGTAACTTTCCTCCTTGAAAAGGCGGCACCTCTCCGAAAATGTGGTGTTCTGTTGAACAAAAAATACGTATATGCAAAAGGCATTGGGGGATGCCAGTGGTGAATGTTGACCTTGAACGACTGAGGCGAGCAGCCGGGTCCTGCTAGTGGCAGCCACGTCTCATGCAGGTGTGCCCATGGCAGATATGTCCCCTGTATGCGCAGTCTTCTTTGTTTGTGAACAGGACCGGCCACTTTGTGGGATACCACCATGTGCCACCTCAGCGTGGGTCGAGTGGTGGCAATGTTGCAGATTCTTCTAATGCAAGAATGGGGGACCTCTGGCCCTCCAAATGTTATTGGAATTTCTGGCTGATGGGAGCTGGGAATCTAACAACATTTTGAGGCCCACATGTTACCCCATCCCTCTCTAATGGGAAATGAATTAGACCCTCTTACATATACTTCTACTGGCATGGCTGGTGTTCCCTCCACAGATACTCCCTTGCCAGTCTTGGTAAGTATAAAGGCTTCCTTAAGCACACAAGGAAGACCACATGGGCAGCATCCTTTAGACTTCTCTGTGTGGGTCTGCTGGAAACCACTGAAATCAGTGTGCCGACAAAGATACATGCACTTACCTTCCTATGTGGTGTCAAGGAATCGCATCAAGGGGGTGTGATCAAATTGCCATTGAATTGCAGGCGCCAGGCCTAGGGCTACACTTGATGGTGTGGGGTTGCATTGAGGTAGTGCTGAACTGCAGAAAAGGTCATTACACCCCACCCAAGAAGTATTAGCCATACAACTAGAGGTGTCAAGAGCTTCATACCCAGCTTTGCTTGGGAATCCTAAGAAACTCAAAAAATCTGTGCATTTTTTAATTCGGTGGTTGAAATCATTGCTGTTTTGGAAGGTTCAGTCTTCATTCAAAATGGCATTCAATTGTATCCATGGAACTATAACGCAGAATTTGGTTAAAAGCAAAACATTCCTTTTTTGCATCTAGGCCAGCCCCAGATCCAGCACACTGTTAAGGCAGGCATTGATGGACTCCAACTCCCATCAGCCCCAGCCAAACAACATCTGGATGGCCACAGGTTCCCCATCCCATGCACAAAAGCTGAATGGGATCTCAGCATGTCACTTGTCTTAAGTTCCTTGGATTCCCAAGGGAATGGCATGGACACTGTCTGCTGTGGATTGCATCCATAATATAGACTAGAGTGTTTCTGGTCAGTTCTCAAGTGTGGTCTTCTTGTGCATAGACAGCCACTTTGACCTGGCGAGGGCATGTTCAGGGGAGCTAAAAGCTAATAAAGGCCAACCGCTCTGCTCAATAAATGGTATCTAAAGTTGCAGTAAGACTTTTCTCTGTAGCTATCTATGCATTGAAAGTTTCTGTGGTACCATTTTGCCATGGGCCTCACTGCAGATTCGGTCCAGGTGTCTTGCTTGGAGCACTTCACTCATCAAAGAGACTCTGATCTAAACACTTGAGCTAGGGAAATGGGAATGGGGAACTAAGAGGCCCTTCCCACAGTTATTATCCCATCACCAGTTATGAAGTCCTCACAAGTCGACTTTCCTTGTGAACGCACCAGCACTTGCTTTGGTTAATGCTCATCGCCACTTGGAAAAAAATAATTGAAACCAGTCGAAGTTAGAGGAAGGCATATGGGGTTGGGGGAGGGATGCCAACACAGAGAGTATTCAGGAAATTAGTCTGCAATGGCCAAATATTCTGCAAAAGTCAATGTGATGTGATATCATGTGATGACTTTGATTGTAAAATTGTGCGGGATTGTGTGAATAGCATGGGCTGCAAGTGGGAGATGGATGGAGGAATAGTTTTTTATTAATATTTATTTTTTATTACACTTATATCCTGCCTTTCATCCTAGAAGCTCAAGGCAGCCTATGTGATTTCCCCTCCCCGCCCCCCACAAAATTATCCTCAAAACAATCCTGTGTGATAGATTAGACTGAGAGACTGCTTCTATTGACCGAAGGTCACCTACAGAGCTAATGGGTAGGAGTTGGACCCTTCTGATCTGCAGCACAGGGTAACAGTGCAGGAGGGGTGCTGTTAAGGTACCTAGCAAACACCCCTGCAGTGTAGCTTCCAAGCTTCTGTCTCTGGAGCAAGGAGGCAGGAGAAGCTGAAGGCAGGGACTGGTGGACTGTAAACATGCCAATCTGCAGAAGCCCTCCTGCCAACTGCAAATTCCTCTGGTGGTTGGGGACACAATAGCCCGGGTTCCAGTCTTACCCCTCCAGGCAGAAGGAGATCAGCTAATTTATTGCTGGAGAGAGCAAGTAGTTCTAGCACCCCAACTTGGCAATTAAAGAAATCACCCTGGCTTTGGGCACTTTGAGGTATATGTTTTCAGGACCCACATTATGTTTATGGTTGTAAGTTGCTTTAAATGGTTTGTAATATCGTTTTAATGCTGTCCCTCACCCTGGGACCTTATGGAGAAGGGTGGGCAATAAACAAACAAATAAATAGTTTTGTCCTCTGGAGGGAATGATATAAAAACTGGTATGGCCAAAGGGAATAGCAGTAGCTATTAAAAATGTCCACCCACGTCCAGGCACCACCCACCCACAAGAGGGACGGATTGGGGGAACCTTAAGATTTGCAGAATAATGAAAGCAACTTTAATTGGGTGGGTGGGAGATCCAAGTTGAAGGGGCTCAAAGCAGTGTGCTCAGTGGCCACAGGATTCTGACTTACTGGGGTTGGGGGGTGGGATACAGGGTGGAGGAGGGGAAATTGAACTGGATGATTGGAATCCTGAACAGCAACACAATACACTGCAAACTTTTGTTGCAAGTTCCACTTATTATTCTCTCCCCGGGGCCTCCGCTTTACTGCAACCAAGCCTTAAGGCTGCCTGGTCATTTCATGCCACTTATTATGAATATTTTTCATAATAGATGTGAGATCGTCCCAAGGGGAGGTTACACTCAGAAGAAAAAGACAAGCAGATTTGGAAACGATGGTTAGAACTGAAATGGAAACGCAATACATTCCATCTCGCTCATGGACACAAAGGCAGGGTGTGTGGACTGTTGGGAAATGAGGGTCTTGACACAGCTGCCACATCATAGCAGGGTTAAATGTGTGGCCAGAGCCAATCTGATCACCAAATAGATGTCCCCAAAACCATGTACCATAGTGGGGGTCAGGCGCTGAGTACTCAAGCAGAGCTGTAGTTTTAGGCCCGTGTTAGCAACTGGCTGTACCTGTTGTTCATAAACTGGAGCGAGGCAACCTGTCCACTAGGGAGGGGCTAATCTGTCCAGTTGGGATCCTCACAGTTTTCCAGCATTGCGATCTTCACATCAATTCGCTTTTTCTTTTTGAGTCCTCATTAAGACAGGGACGCGGGTGGTGCTGTGGGTTAAACCACAGAGCCTAGGGCTTGCTGTTCAGAAAGTTGGCAGTTCGAATCCCCGCAATGGGGTGAGCTCCCGTTGCTCGGTCCCAGCTCCTGCCAACCTAGCAGTTCGAAAGCACGTCAAAGTGCAAGTAGATAAATAGGTACCGCTCCGGTGGGAAGGTAAACAGCATTTCCGTGTGCTGCTCTGGTTCACCAGAAGCGGCTTAGTCATACTGGTCACAAGACCCGGAAGCTGTACACCGGCTCCCTCAGCCAATAAAGCGAGATGAGCGCCGCAACCCCAGAGTCGGTCAGGACTGGACCTAATGGTCAGGGGTCCCTTTACCTTTACCTCATTAAAACAAGCTTTTCAGTGTGAATTTCTCCTAATCTATGCATTTCTGTATGCAATTTCCCCTAAGCTACACAATAGGAAAAGCATCCCCCTCCCCTGTGTGAAGCATTTTTGTATCTCTGCCTGTGCATTGTTTCAGGAAGTGCAAATCAAGGTTTGGTTTAAATGCAAGCTGTATCAAATACCACCCACCCCTGTGCCATCCACAGTGTCCACGTGAGCACTGACAGCTGCGATGAGCAGCAGACTAAAATGCAGGGTTGCTATAGGATAGCCATGACCTTGTGTCTAACTATACAGAGGACAGTCCTCTATTTGAACATGTCCACCCTTTCATAGAATCATAGAGTTGGAAGAGACCACAAGGGCCATCGAGTCCAAGCCCCTGCCAAGCAGGAAACACCATCAGAGCACTCCTGACATATGGTTGTCAAGCCTCTGCTTAAAGACCTCCAAAAAAAGGAGACTCCACCACACTCCTTGGCAGCAAATTCCACTGTCAAACAGCTCTTACTGTCAGGAAGTTCTTCCTAATGTTTAGGTGGAATCTTCTTTCTTGTAGTTTGGATCCATTGCTCCGTGTCCGCTTCTCTGGAGCAGCAGAAAACAACCTTTCTCCCTCCTCTATGTGACATCCTTTTATATATTTGAACATGGCTATCATATCACCCCTTAACCTCCTCTTCTCCAGGCTAAACATGCCCAGCTCCCTTAGCCGTTCCTCATAAGGCATCGTTTCCAGGCCTTTGACCATTTTGGTTGCCCTCCTCTGGACACGTTCCAGTTTGTCAGTGTCCTTCTTGAACTGTGGTGCCCAGAACTGGACACAGTACTCCAGGTGAGGTCTGACCAGAGCAGAATACAGTGGCACTATTACTTCCCTTGATCTAGATGCTATACTCCTATTGATGCAGCCCAGAATTGCATTGGCTTTTTTACCTGCCGCGTCACACTGTTGGCTCATGTCAAGTTTGTGGTCAACCAAGACTCCTAGATCCTTTTCACATGTACTGCTCTCAAGCCAGGTGTCACCCATCTTGTATTTGTGCCTCTCATTTTTTTTTGCCCAAGTGCAATACTTTACATTTCTCCCTGTTAAAATTCATCTTGTTTGTTTTGGCCCAGTTCTCTAATCTGTCAATCATCCAAGTCGTTGATAAAGATGTTGAATAAGACCGGGCCCAAGACAGAACCCTGTGGCACCCCACTAGTCACTCTTCTCCAGGATGAAGAGGAACCATTGATGAGCACCCTTTGGGTTCGGTCAGTCAGCCAGTTACAAATCCACTGAGTGGTAGCATAGTCAAGACCGCATTTTACCAGCTTGGATGTCACCCTTTGATGATGATGATGATTAAAATGATTTATTGTTTGTACCTTGCCCATCTGGCTGGGTTTGAAGGGCTCTCCAGTCCAAACCCGCTTTCAACACAAATAAATAATGACAACGATAATTTCTATACAGTCATACCTCTAGTTGCGTTGGGTTCATGTTGCGGATTTTCGGGTTGCGAACGCGGCAAACCCAGAAGTGTATACTTCCAGGTTTTGCCGCATGCACAGAAGCATTCTGCACGCTTTGCGCATGCACAGAAGTGCTCTTTTGCACTCCGTGCTTGTGCAGAAACACTACTCTAGTTGTGGACTTTTCGGGGTGCAAACAGCACCCCGGAATGGACCGTGTCCGCAACTAGAGGTAACACTGTAGTTGGAAGCGACCACAAGAATCATCTAGTCCAACCCCCTGCAATGCAGGGATCTTTTTGCCCAGTGTGAGACTTGAACCCACAACCCTGACATCAAGAGCCTCATGCACTGCCAACTGAACTATAAACCAAGTCAGGTTTAAAGTTATTAATGTATGCTAAGAAGGGAGAGCAGCGGCCAGGGCAAGCACACAAGGACCACCGGGACACACGTCTCCCTTGCTGTGGTGAGCTGTATTGCATTTCTATTTCACTTGCAGCCGTGATTCCCAAATTTGCATCTGTTCCTATAAATTAGCAAGTGTAAGTTTTATGCAAAAATCTGTGTCCTCTTTCTCTAATTTCACGTTGCATAAATGTCCACTCTAAATTGCTTACGACACAGACATTGGGCCTCTGCTTTTGGTGCCAGTGCTTTTTGTGGCTAGAGCAAGAATGTTCTGCCCTCTCCCATTGTACCATAACTTGGGCTCATCTAATAAAATTGCTTCTGGCAGCACACTCAGGATAAGCAAAATAAAGTACTGCCTTCACACAGCCTTTGATTAACTTACGGAACTCTCTGCCACAAGATGTGAGGAGGACTAGTAGCTTGGGTGGCTTTAAAAGGGGGGAATAGACAAGCTGTTAATCATGACAGCTTAATAAATCCTTCATGTTTTGAGGTACTGTGCCTCTGAATATCAGCTGCTGAAGGCTATTTCATTCATGCTCTGCTTGTGGCCTTCTCAGAAGCATTAAATTAGCCTTTGACAGATGGATGGTGCTGAACTATGTGGGCCTCTGTCTTGATCCAGGAGGTCTCTTCCTATGTTCTCACATCCTCTGTCTATTTTGCATCCTAGGAACAAGTTGGGGTCTTTGCTGAATGTGATTGAGAGGCGCCTGCATGGAGGGCTGTCAAAGATCATCTCGCAATGCTGCTCCCTCACGCGTACTTGAACTTTCTTTCTGGCCTCTGGCCTTGATTTTGCAGATGGGTACTGTAGCCGAGAGCGTCTGTCCCCAGAGATTTATGAAGAATCCGAAACTGACCCTGGTGCAGAGGAGGTTTCCACGCGGATCTTCGTTGCCCTTTTCGACTATGACCCACTGACCATGTCTCCCAATCCTGATGCGGCTGAAGAGGAGCTCCCGTTTAAAGAAGGGCAGATTATCAAGGTATGGCTTGTGAAGCAGAAGCAGAGCACACTCATGCAGGATTGAGGCTAGAACCAGTTATGGCTGCTACCAGTGGGGGCCAGTCTGTGAGGGCTGAAGGAGCACCACCCCACCAACCAGAATGTGCATTCAGCCAGCCCTCACTTGCCTGTTCTCCTACACACACGTAGTACATGGGATGTCCTTGGCTGCCACGTTCCACCTTCGAATCATAGAATCATGGAATTGAAGAGTTGGAAGGGAGCCTGAGAGCAATCTAGTCTCACCCCCAGCAATGCAGGAATCTCAACTGAAGTAGCCATGGCAAATGGTCACCCAGCCACTGCTTAGAAACCTCCAAGGTGTCAGGCTTCAGGGAATCAGCTTCCTTCCGCCTTGGCAGCAGATAAGCAGAACAAAGGAAAAGGAGTCGTCTTACCAGTTAGAATCTTTAATAATCACAGTGAGACACAACAGAACACATCTCTCTAGAATGGCGGTGCTCCCAATTAAGGTTCACTCCCCTTGCATCCCTATTAATCTACATCACTCCTACGTCTTGTAACCTTGTGCTCTCTGTGCTTTCAGTTTGGAGACTTTCTGAGCCCTTCTAGATGGGGGTGGGGAAGGAATGCTATCCAGCGACTGTAAATCTGTTAACCCTCCTCCTCCCAGTGTTTTTTCTCCTAGCTGTTCCCCATCCAGTATTTCCCAGCTTCTGCCTTCTGAACTATGCCCCTCTGCAAACCACGGTTCCAAATCTATACTGTCCTCCTGCTCCTGGGGAGATTCGGGGTTGGAGGGAGGCGGCGGCTCCCACCATGCCTCCTCAGCACAGTGCCTGACACAAGGAAATAAAGTCCACCACCTTCCAAGGGAGTCCCATCCCACTGTCAAACACCTCTTACTGTCAGAAAGTTCTTCCTGGTGTTTTGTCAGAATCTCCTTTGGTCTCTGTGTGAACCATTGTAGAATTCAGCAGGGGGGGGGGATGTTGGTGTTGGGGCAGGACTAGAATTAGTTGGCTCTGCAAAGAGGTTGAGGGAACCTTTTTTTTCATATGTGGTGGACTTGTAAAAAGGTAAAAGAGTATTGGGAAATGATCCATAATGAATTGAAAAAATTGTTTAAAAGTACTTTCCCAAAAAAAAACAGAGTCCTTTCTGTTGGGGATAATTCAGACAGACATTCCCAGGTGTCAAAAAAGGTTATTTATGTATGCCACTACTGTGGCCCATGTTTGGTTAGCCCAAAAATGAAAAACAATTGAGATCCCAACTAAAGAAGAATGCCAACTTAAGCTGACAGAATATGTGCAGCTTGCAGACTTAACATATAGAATAAGAGAACAAGAAGAGCATACGTTTAGAGAAGATTGGAAAACGTTTATTTAATATATGGAAAATGACTGTGTATAGCTGAAAACACTGGCAGCACTGAGATAAATTCAACAGTGTAAATAAGTTATGATGGTTGTAATCATGGAATACTAAATGGTATCGTTTCTGTAAAATATGCTGGGATTTATGATATGTAAAATGAACCATGGAAAGAGAAGAAGGAAAGTCATTGATATCTTAAGGATGTATAAATGAGTACTTTGAATTGTAAAACAGTCATCTGCTGTTTGGGCTTCTTGCTTTCCACTCCACCAGTCCCACTGGCTGGTTCTTGGAAGGCAAGGTGGTGCCAGAGCCAGCAGTAGGCAGAGCTAGCCGATTCTAGTTGTGGAACTCCCTCCCATCAGAGGTGCCTTTGCCACCTTAATTGTACAGCTTTTGGAGAATGCTGAAGTCTCACTTGTTTACTCGCCTGGTGTTGGACATTTGAGGTGCATGTTTATAGGACCCACCTTTTATAATTTTAAGTTGTTTAAACAGTCTTTAATATTGTGCAGTATTGTAATGCGGGTGGCGCTGTGGGTTAAACCACAAAGCCTAGAGCTCGCTGATCAAAGAGTCGGCGGTTCGAATCCCCGCGACGGGGTGAGCTCCCATTGTTCGGTCCCTGCTTCTGCCAACCTAGCAGTTCGAAAGCACGTCAAAGTACAAGTAGATAAATAGGTACCGCTCCGGCAGGAAGGTAAACAGCGTTTCCGTGCGCTGCTCTGGTTCGCCAGAAGTGGCTTAGTCATGCTGGCCACATGACCCAGAAGCTGTATGCTGGCTCCCTCGGCCAATAAAGCGAGATGAGCGCCGCAACCCCAGAGTCGTCCGCGACTGGACCTAATGGTCAGGGGTCCCTTTACCGTTACCTTTACCTTGGGACTTCAGGAGGAAAGCTGGGAAATTTATTGTTGTTGTTGTTATTGTTATTTTTAAAAAGTTATTTATACCCCGTCCAGCTGGCCAGGTTTCCCCAGCCGCTCTGGGTGATTCCAATAATAATAATAATAATAATAATAATAATGCGATAAAACATCAGACATTAAAACTTCCCTAAACTGGGCTGCCTTCAGATGCCTTCAAAAAGTCAGATAGTTGTTTATTTCCTTGACAAACAAACAACAAATAACAAACAAACTTCAGAAATGCCTAACTGCTTGGTCAAACTGAGTAAGTCATTTGTTTGTTTTCTCACCCCTCATCAACATCAGGTGTACGGCGATAAAGACGTTGATGGATTTTACCGGGGGGAAACCTGCGCGAGGCTGGGCCTTATTCCTTGCAATATGGTCTCTGAAATCCAAGCCGATGACGAAGCTATGATGGAGCAGCTTCTGAAGCAAGGGTTCCTCCCTCTGAACACCCCTGTGGAGAAAATAGGTAAGGGAGGCCACCGGTAGCTGTCATCACGCCGTTGGGACTCTGTCTGCAACAGTTGTAGAAATGCTCCCCAGTTCAGCAGTAGGCCTGAGGTCAAGTAGGATATATCTGTCCAGAGCCAAGGTAGGGAACCTCTCAACCCAAGGGCCGCATTAGGTCTTGGGGGCCAAGGCCAAAGTGGGCAGGGCAGCAAATGCCTATTTGGCCTTTGCACAGTAGACTGGTTTCTGCACGCACACCTCGCTATCCGGAGAAGTGCTAGGCATTACCCAGAGTTCAAGGACACATTCCAGCCAGGCAAAACCACTTTGGGTGCCAAGGAGGGCCTGTGAGGGGTGTGGCCTCAGGAGGAGACTACCGAGTTCCAGATAGAGAGACCCTGGGGGGCTGGCCTTTGGTCTTTGGCCTTTAGGCTTCCCACTCCTGGTGAACGCGAATAAGGGCTAACGAAACTCAAATAGAAATGTTTGTTCCCCCCTATTGAGACCTTTAAAACACAACCACTGCCAACAATTCATCGGTTCAAAGATGTCGATCTTCCGAATGGTTAGAGTCTGCATGGCATGTTCTGCATTGCCTGTTGGTCTGGGTCCCCCTGCTTGTTGTTCCCATCGGAGACCGCTGCCTGCAGCTCTGAGTCATGGCCTGAATCGCACAATATTCTGGACCAGGCAGGTCATCACTGTGTAGGAAACAGAAGTAGTCTTCAGAATAAGCTCAGGTTCAAAAACTAGAGAGGCAAAGGGCCAAATTAGATGTAATGTTAATTGCTTGGTAACATGCACATTCTTCAGTTATGTAAATAGCAGCTGTGGGACAGCCTGAGCTGTCTTGGGACTACGGGGGGTTTAACTTTCTGTCCTCCCCACACTACACCCTCCCCAAGGGGGCACCCAAAGGAGCTTTCCTTGGAAGACAAACAATAGCTTCCATCTATTTTTGTCAGCAGAGGTTGAAAGAAGCTGGCTGCACACATTTAAAGCACCTGACCTCCCCCCAAAATCCCGGGAACTGTAGTTCACTCCTCACGGGGATACATTCCCAGCACCCTTGGCAAACTACAGTTCCCAAAGTTCTTTTTGGCAGGAGAGCGAGCAAGAAATGTGCTTCAAATGCATGGGTTCGCTGCAGCTGCTTATTTAGAAAACAAAAAATGTGCGCCTTCCATGCAGCTAATGTGGCTAGTTTGGCCAGGAACCTTAAGTTTTTGTTGTTTTAAAGGAAGTATAATGGTTTAACTCCTTTGGCCTGGAAGGGGTTTGGGGAGGTGGGTTGGAATCTGATTTTGATCCTCTGTTGTTCATGTTGGGGTCTCCTTTGATCCTGAGGATGTGGAAAAGCAAACCAACCCCTTGACCATGCTGGATTACACCACCCTCAGTGCAACAATGGCTCTGTGATAAAGACAAACACATGGGGTGGTTAAAAGGAGGTGCTGCTTTGCCACCCAACTGGTCTCGGTCCTTGAAAGTCCACATTTTGAAAGTGCCGTACCTCCCTTCTTAACAGCTTCATATCTTCTCTTCTTTTGTTTGTTCTTTTCCCGAAGTCAACTGCAACCGTTTCAAAGAGAGCTCACACTCTGCACACCGCAGGTCCAGAAAGTCCAAAAGAGGTCTGTGCTTAAAACCAACCAACCCCCAACCCAACAACCTGATTCAAGCTGTTGACGAAGCAAAGTGCTTTGAGCTGGCTTGTTTGATACTCCTTTTAGGCATCCCATCAGATACTGGCAGCAGAAAGGGTGTTCCTCACCTGTAAAATGTGAGCATTCATTAGGTGCCTCTGGTCTGGTCATTGTGCAGCTCTGCTGGCTACTTTTATGAGTTCTGAGTTAGAATCTTTTGCCCAACATGGGGCTCAAACCCACAACCCTGAGATTAAGTCCCTCATGGAGAATGGAGTTCCGCAGAGCTTATCTGCTGGTCCCCCTGCCCGTAGGGGTTGGGTACATTCAAAGCTGGGCAGCAGAAGGTTTTGTTGTTGTTCTGCTGCTAAAGCCTCCCTTACCTAGGTTGTTTCTGCAGTGACGGTGGGATGGACTCAAGGGTGTGCTGCCTCTTCCATTTCCACCGCCCGAGGCAGCTGCCTCACCCTGCATCATGGGTGGGCCGGCTCTGGCAGGAAAATCATTCATATGGTCTTGTAAGCAATTCTCCAATGGTCTGGGGGGTGAGGAAGTTTGGAAGCTACTGGCCTAGAATATCCCCCACAGAATTCCACAGCAGAATCAGAGAGTTGTAGAGCAGGAAGGGACCTCGCAGGTCACCTACCAACCCCCTGCAATGCAGGAATCACAACCAAAGGGTTCCTGATGGGTGGCCAGCCCACCTCTGTTTTAAAGAAGCCTATAGTCAAGGGAGGGACGCGGGTGGTGCTGTGGGTAAAACCTCAGTGCCTAGGACTTGCCGATCGCATGGTCGGCGGTTCGAATCCCTGCGGCGGGGTAGGCTCCCGTCGTTCGGTCCCAGCTCCTGCCCACCTAGCAGTTCGAAAGCACCCTTAAGTGCAAGTAGATAAATAGGTACCGCTTTATAGCGGGAAGGTAAACGGCATTTCTGTGTGCTGCTCTGGTGCCGGTTCGCCGGAGCAGCTTCATCATGCTGGCCACGTGACCCGGAAGTGTCTGCGGACAGCGCTGGCTCCCGGCCTCTAGAGTGAGATGAGCGCACAACCGTAGAGTCTGTCAAGACTGGCCTGTACGGGCAGGGGTACCTTTACCTTTATAGTGAAGGGAGGGACGTGGGTGGTGCTGTGGGTTAAACCACAGAGCCTAGGACTTGCTGATCAGAAGGTTGGCGGTTCGAATCCCCGCAATGAGGTGAGCTCCTGTTCAAATCCCCGCAATGGGGTGAGCTCCCGTTGCTCGGTCCCTGCTCCTGCCAACCTAGCAGTTCGAAAGCACATCAAAGTGCAAGCGGATAAATAGGTACCGCTCCGGCGGGAAGGTAAACAGCGTTTCTGTGCGCTGCTCTGGTTCACCAGAAGCGGCTTAGTCATGCTGGCCACATGACCCGGAAGCTGTATGCCGGCTCCCTCAGCCAATAAAGCGAGATGAGTGCCGCAACCCCAGAGTTGGTCACGACTAGACCTAATGGTCAGGGGTCCCTTTACCTTTATGGTGAAGGGAAGTACAGCACCTTCCAAGGTCTTCATCAGACCTGTTAATGTTGGTAAGGACTCCCTGATGATAAAAAGTGTGAGATTCTTTCTGTACTACTCTGGAAATGTTTGGCAGCGGGCAAGGAGGGCAAATTAAGCCCTGAAACTACCTCCTTGCCACTGCCAGAGAAGGCCTTCTACATTTTCACCAAGCACTGATCCACAGCCATAAGGACTAGAGTTTTTTTCTTTAAGTAAATGAAAATTGAGATTTCTTAGAATGTAAATAAATAAATACAGTCATACTTCGGGTTACAGACACTTCAGGTTGCGTTTTTTCAGGTTACGGACTGCTGAAACCCGGAAGTACCAGAATGGATTACTTCCAGGTTTCGGCAGTTGCACATGTGCAGAAGAACTAAATTGTGCTTTGCGCATGTGCAGAGCGCCAAATCGCAACCCGCATGTGCGCAGACGCGCCGTTGCGGGTTGCGAACTTGCATCCTGCACAGATCACGTTCACAACCCGAGCATCCACTGTAATAGGTTTCCAAACATGAATATTTGGAATACACACAGCCCTGGGGAAAGTCTTGAGGCTTAGCAGGTTAATCCAATGTACCCCACCAGAATCATAAGGTATAACCACCAGGATCTGTTGAACTGTGTAGGGTGGTTTTGTTGTGTGTTGATGAAAGCAACACAAGGTATACGCACCTGTGGCTTCATGAATCTACTTTCATTCTTCTTTTGGATCCTGGTCTGCATCTTCAAGGGAGGCAGCTCTTTCAGAGCAGGGTCAACGCAAGATGTGATGAGAAAAGGAGTCTTTAAACTCGCAAACCCTCTCCTTCATTTGAGCATCCTCCCCCCAGTCCCTATTTTCCTGCATCCTTTGCACAGCTGAGACTGGTTATTTTTCTCCATCATTCATGAAAGTGCTACAACCAGCACCATGGACCAGCTGAAATAGTGGTTCAGCTCCAAGGGAAAACAACCTGACTTCTTGTTCCAACTTGGGGATCAGTTTTTGTTCATCTTTAAAAGGGATCTGGTAACTCTTTAAAAGGCTGTTCAAAGATGTTTAGGGCTGCCTTGACATCTACAGGTACCAGAGCTCAGTTGCTAGCCAAACCAAGATTTCAGCTTCTTTTCAGCTGTGACTTGAGTCTCCTCCAAAGAAATGCCAGCTCCCAGGTGGTGCGGTGCGATGCTATACATTCCTTTCTTTCTTACAAAAAAGTGTACCAATCCCAAATGTTCCTCATCCTCAATGTTCTTGGTCCATCAGACATGGAGTCCCTGTCCCAAGTTCCCTTTCATCAGTTTTCATACTGTTCCCCACTATCTCTGCTCCAAAGCATCCTTCATGAGATACTGATGCTAAACAAACATGCTTTTCCTTTGCCAGACCCATCAGTTGCAAGGACCATGCCCCATTCATGTTGTTTGGAAGGCCATTCCAGAACTTCCCCTGAGAAATGTTTAATGTCGGTGTCTAAACATTGCAGCTTTTGCTCAAACCACGTTTGCTCTTGTCGCTCATTGAGAAAATGTGTATATTTCTGGTGTAAATAATGTTTCTGTTACAGCATGAAAGGTCTTGAAGGAGCCTTCGCTCTTCTACCAGGCAAAGGTGTTAACAGGATCTGTTTGCAGAGGCTTAAATCAAGATGAATTTAGAGCCTTTTAGCTTCAGTTTAGCGGTAGCTTCCTACCACCATTGATGCACCCATGAACCACTTGTGGTTCTTTCCAATTCTTGAAGACTACAAGCATATGTTGTAAGCTGCTATATGGGGGGCATCTTCCTGGCCACTATGAAAACACGATCCTGATATAGACTAGCCACTGGCCTGATCCAGCTCTTCTTGTGTTCTTATGTTCTTCTACCCTCTGTTGCTAAGTCAGGAGAGCAGTCCATTTGGCAGAAGTGGTTTGGATACAGATGAAACCCAGGTCCCTGACCGTCTGAAGCAGCCTTTGCCAACCTTGTGCCCTCCAGAGGCTTTGAACTCCAACTCCCGAAAAGGCCAGGAGGGCACCAGGTTGGCAAAGGCTGATCTGAACAGCACTGTCGAAAGGCAGAGCCAGCCTCAGAGTTAGAAACTGTACCTATTTCATTGTGTCCATTTTAAAGCCAGTGACTTGCTAGCGAACAAGGTCTCAGGTGGGGTTGCTCCCTCGTTTATGTCACAGTTGCATGGTGGTGATACATATTTAAAAGTAACTGTGATAGCTTCTCCTCCCTTTGGCTGGAACAGAAAGGAACAGGAGGAGCGGCCGTCAGCCTGCGGCATCGACCAGGAGAATGGTGGCACTATATGACTACGATCCAAGGGAGAGCTCTCCTAATGTTGACGTGGAGGTACGCATTGAAGCAAACCAAAAAAACCTTCCTTCTAACCTGATTGATACATGGATACAGAAAGAATTAAGTCCTTTGAGGGTGGAGGGGGGTAGCCAGCTTGGTGTCAGGGACTGGCTGGACACAGAGGAGTGGTGGCTGGGTATTGAGAAGTGGGCACCGGCAGAAGTGGAAGTGGAGACTGACTTGGAAGAAGGGATCTGTGATCTGGGGGGACCTGTAACAACCGGGAGATGAGAATCAGACACAGAAGGGGGCTGCAGGATTTGAGAGTGAAGAGTCCAGGGCTTCCCCACCTCCTCCTCCTGTGCCTTCCTCTCCTGCTCCCCTGTCTCCCAGGACCAGGAGAGGAATGAAGTGGGAGGAGCAGAAGAAGAAGGTTGCATGCAGGCACAGTCTCCATCTGCTTGCACGCAGACATGTAAGCCCGAGGTTGGGGCCTCCCTGTTGTGCCCACCCAGGAGTAGCTGAGACACGTAGGACTGTTAGACATGCCTTTTCCTAACTTTTCCTAACTTGTAAGTGTACCGTATTTTTTGCTCTATAAGATGCACTTTTCCCCTCCTAAAAAGTAAGGGGAAATGTGTGTGCATCTTATGGAGTGAATGCAGGCTCCATGGCTTCAGGGATAGCCGCCCGAAACCTCCGGAGTGCAGCGAGAGTGCTGCACTCCGGAGGCTTCGGGCAGCTATCCCTGAAGCCAGGAGAGCAAGAGGGGTCGGTGCGCACTGACCCCTCTTGCTCTCCTGGCTTCACTTTGCTGGAGAGGCGCTGCGCAGCTTTCCCTCTCTGCGCAGCGCCCCTTCAGCGAAGCAGGAGGAGAAATGGAAGGGGCTCTGTTTCTCCTGCCTCTTCGCTGAAGAGGTGCTGCGCAGAGAAGGAGAGAATTTTTTTTTCTTGTTCTCCTCTAAAACTAAGTGCGTCTTATGGTCAGGAGCGTCTTATAGAGTGAAAAATACGGTGCATTTGACAATAAAGAATTTGTTCCTCACTCTGGACATTGCTTGCCTGACGGCACTTTGACACTTAGTGCCTTCCAGATGTTGCTGGAATTCCATACCCATCATCCCTGACCCCTGTGTATCATGTTTGAGGTTAATGGGAGTTGCAACGTAAAACAAATGGAGGGCACCACATTGACTACCACAGATTTAGGGGCTGGTTTGTGCCTTCTCTGGTGAGAACTGTAGTCCAAAATAATCATGGCACTTACACTGGAAGCACCAGGGAGACCAGTGGTCCCCCAGGTGCTGTTAAACTCCAGTTCTCAGCCCTAGGCAGCCTTGCCAGTGGTCAGAGCCAAGGATGGAGGAGAAATCAGGTTCAGTTCACATTTGAAGCCAAGCCAATCGAAGTTGCATTTCCCAATATGAGAACTGCAACACAGCCCTCCTTCAAAATTTGCACTCGTCCAAATTGTGTGGTGCAGTTCTCCAACCAACCAATTGGTTACAAATTGCATAAATTTGGGGGTGGGGACATTGGGAAAAGATGGTGTTGTTTTCACTAACACAACAGAACTGCATTTTATTAGGGGAAACTCTCTTTTTTAAGAGAAATTTGCACTGAAATGCTGAAGAATTTTCATGGTTGTTTTTTTAAAAAAACCCAAAACCAACTTCTGATTGCTTCAAAAAAAAGTGTGTAGAACTGAATTTAATTTTTTTAAAAAAGAAAAGAACTTGCTCCTATTAAAATGAATTCCCACCCAAAATTACTTCCTTATGACCAGGTATAGCATAAGGCATAGACTTCAACAGGTTTCAGATCGGGGACTCGCCTGCAACATCACCTACCACCATGGAACCAGCTTTTAATGTCTTGCCAAAAACATGGAGTTGGTACACCAGCATGAGAAAAAACTCTCCCTTAGAATTTCTTCTTCTACACAGGCATTAAAATTAAAGGAGCTCCTTCTGCCAGCGCATCTCACCAGCTCCCTCTTTCTCTTTTCCCTCTTTAAAAGTATACTAAACAGAAAAGGGAAAGATGGAACCTGGGGTTTTCTGCCTGCAACGCAGATGCTGTGCTACTGAGTGCTACCCCATGTCTGTTCTGACATTCATCCTCCTCCCCTCATACGTATATGTGCTTGCTAGTTCAGGGTTGCACTTTGTGCATCTGATGAAGTGAAACTCTGGCCTGCAACAGCTCACGCCAGAATAAACCTTAGTTTTTAAAGGAACCTCAAGACTCATCTTGTTGTTTGCTGCATTAGACTAATGTAAGAAGACTTCTGTAAATAGTGGCAGCAGGAGATACAGTCAACTCACCAATAATAAACAGAGGTGCTACTAGATATCCATCATTTATTATTATTATTATTATTATTATTATTATTATTATTAATATCATTATTATTATTAGTAGTAGTAGTATACCGCCCTATACCCAAAGGTCTCAGGGTGGTTCACTTAAAAAGATCACAGGTATATAAAATAAAAATAAAAGCAATAATCTAATAATACTCCCCCCAGAAGAGCCACATTTTAAAAGGGTATGGGATGCTGATCAGGTCAACCAAAGGCCTGGTTAAAAAAGAATGCTTTTGCCTGGCACCTAAAGGTGTATAAGGAAGGTGTCAGGCGAACTTCCCTGGGGAGAGCATTCCACAGATGGGGAGCCACTGCAGAGAAGGCCTCTTCTTGTGTTGCCACCCTCTGGACCTCTTGAGGAGGGAGCACACAAAGTAGAGCCTCAGGGTCTGGGTAGGTTCATATGGAAAGAAGCGATCCTTGATGCAGCGTCAAAAACTGAACCCTGCTTTGCAAAACCTGGTGATGCTGTCCTTTATTCTCTTTCCACAGGCTGAGCTAACATTTTGTACAGGAGACATTATAACAGTCATTGGAGAAATTGATGAAGATGGCTTTTATTATGTAAGTGTCCTGTTTCTTTCTTTCCACTACTCTGTTCCAGTTGCAGTATTGAGTCCATTCATTGGCAGCAAACCCTTGTCCACTCAGGGTGTTACAAACCAAGAACAGCCTATTTTTTTCTTTTCAAGAGTGCCCCCTGGAACCAGAGAGCCTTCCCTGCTTTTGTATACACCAGCAAGAGCAGACTAGTTAGGCTCTTTTTCCAGTCAAGACCCCAGATACAAAAACAAGAAACTGCCCCCCTTGCCACCCCCGCCACCCCCCCCCAAAAAAAAACAAGCTACAGTTCAAATCCAGCAGGAAATTGTAGCACAGAGCGGAAACAGCTGCAAATACCAGAGGACAGCAAACACACCTACTCAGTCAGGTCTAATAAAAGAGCCAAGTTTCAGCTGGTGCCCCGAATGACCCAACATTCGGGGGCTTGCTTGAGAAGCTTCTTTGGGGGAAGGCATCCCACATGGTGGATCCCAAAACTAGAGAGGTCCTGCTCCTTAGATCTGTGTCTAGGTTCGCTGTGCTTCCCCAGGGTTTGCTTCCTTTGGGATGAGGCAGAGCAGAGACCGTGTCTTCTCTAGGATATGTGGTTCATTTACATATATATACAACCTGAGCCTATGATGGAGAGGTTCACATCAGCACCCCAAAAGGTCTTGTTTCTCCCAGAGCCCACAGCCTTGGATTCAAACAGAAATCAATCATGACGCTCTCTCCTGCTTCCCAGCTTGCAACTTTGCTTCCAGCTCACATAAACAACTCTCCACTGTCCTTTTAACTATCCTAGTTGAGGCAGCCACCCATTTGTCCTCTGACACAGGTCCACTTCCTTTGTTTCCTTATTGGCCCATTACCAGGATACTGGCTTGGTTGTTTCAGGAATTTGGAAGTGATTTTTCTGGATCCAGCAATTAGGAGGATCTCAGTATATACACAACCCTGAATTTGGAGGTGCACACTGAGCAAGGTCTGATATTTACACAAGGGGATACCTATCCTGGAGAAGTAGCTTCAAGGTAGAGTAGCAAACTAGTGAGTAAGTCACGGTACTTCAGTAATCCACCCATTTGATCATCTGCCGCTTTTAACTTTCTACATTTTTTCCCTTTTCATATGGATCTTCTGCAATTCACTGTGGTTTGCTCATCAGCGAGAAAGTAGTGTTAATGGCTCTGAAAACCTTGATTCTAACTAAGGTTTGCTAGTTTATCACTGGGGGGTCAAGGAAAAAGAAGGGAAGCAGGAACACTCCATCCCAGCTGGTCATTACAATTTGAAATTAGGGCTGGGAGGGAAACTAGGTTTGGTTTCTGTTTTCATTTGAACCTACCTAATTCAGTTCCTGAAACAACCTACAACTCAAAAGTGCACTTCTTCAAATTTTGCCACGCAGTCCTCTAACAAAATGAATGGATATCCTGTTATGGATGCTTTAGCTGAGATTCCTGCATTGCAGGGGGTTGGACTAGATGACCCCTGGGTACCTTCCAACTCTTAAGATTCTATGAAAATTTAAATGCATATATGAGCAAAGATGCTCATAAAATGCAAAAAAGGGAAGTATTTGTTGCAAGAATGGCATACCAAAATGCTGGATTTTCACGAGGACTTAAAAAAAATGCAAACCAATGCAGAAATGTGGAGAACTGGGCTTAACACTGGGGAAAATGGGAAACAGAAAAGGTCAGATTCATGTATCCCAGTACATTTCCCTTTTGGTCCGTGTCTTTGACCTTGTAAGCCTGACTGTCTGTCAGCTATTTTGGAAACCATTTTTGGAATTTGTGGATTTTTTTTGCAAGGAAGATTTATTTAATGCGGATTATCACTTCCCACCTCACCTGCTTACATTCCAGGGCGAACTTAATGGCCAGAAGGGTTTGGTTCCTTCAAACTTTCTTGAAGAAGTGCCTGATGATGTAGACGTCTACTTGTCTGATGCCCCAGCACGATATACTCAAGATACGCCAATACGTACGAAAGCAAAAAGGGTAAGCAAGCATTGAATAACAAAAACACATTTATTCCTTTTTTGGTTCTGTTTCCTCCCCCCCTCCCATATTTCATATCAGATTTAGTTATGAGTATCATCTGTCAACATTTTTAAAATCCATTTTTTTGTTTTTAGGACATGCTGCGGGGGAAATGCCAATAAACACAGAAATAACTTGTTCTTCCACTAGTGTGTATAATAGTATCACGAGCATTTAGCTACGAACCATTCGTTTTGTGTTTGGTTCATTGCAATGCAAGCTTAGCTTTTCAAGCATTTTTCTGCCTTGCAATTATTTAACAGCTGCAGAATATAGGTATGCTATAGTGTTAAATGCAACACAGAACAAGGGGGTGGGGGAGGAGGGAAGGGACATGCTCCAGCAAGCTTGCGTAGACCATAAACTCAAACCATTCAAAATCCTCACCCCAACCCCGCTGCCAGCAAGTATCCCACAAAGGTGCCCGTCTCTGAAAAGTATTCATGTGTAGTATCTCACTTCTGTCTTCTTTCATCACTGCAGTTTTTATATATTATATTTTATGTATATTTTTATTTCTTTGCTCATCTGCTTGGGAACAGAAGAAGAGTGTTCATTTCACACCTTAAAAAAAGGCAATGTAGCCTTCACGTAAGTGAGCAACTGAAGATACCAGTAAAAATATCAATTCAAGCTAGCTGGCATTATCTAATGCAGCCGTCTTAGCACCTAAATGTGCAGAGAGAGAAATATGTCTCCAAAACCATTAGCCCTGGTTGGTTGCAGACTTTCCTTCGATGTACTTTTTTCCCCCTTCTTTTTATTTTTCTAAAAAAAAAAATTCTCAACATCTAGGGTCTATATAGTCATAAAATGTCAACAGAATTGACTTATCTCACTGTTTTCTTCCTCCTTGTATTCAGGGCTCATGTTCGTAAAAAAAAAAAAAAAGTTTTAACATTTGGAACATATTTCTTACTGGACGTATTGTTTGTTTGCATAAAAAAGTGTTCCTAGTGTCTAATTCCAAAGAGAAGCTGCATATTGCATTGTTAGCCAATCTGGGAGGAAAGCCCCCCACCTCCAGGAGAGGGAGGGGGTAAAAGCACAAAACAGACCCACCCTTGACAAGTGTAACACTGTAAGCGGATCAGTATGGTAGATAAAAAGAAAGGGGTATGGTTGTATCTGAGAACACATTAACCTCAAATATCTGCTTCAACTGTTTGCCTTAAAAGTTCCTCTGCTGGTCAATGATACCCCAAGTTTGCCTATGGCAGTATCTTCTCCATAGTCATCATTCAATAAATAATAATAACAACGCAAACTCTCCAATAGCATAGTCCTACACCCATGTTTGCAAAGCACTCGGCGGCTCTTTGGTTTATCAATGCAATAACTGTTGACATAGACATGCAGCTCAAACCCATGAATGAATGCATTAGAGCTCAATATATATATGGTATCTTCAGGTGTACGTTGGGGGTGCTTCTACGAAGTGGTTCTTTTTTGTTTTCTTCATTAGACAAAGACCTTGATTTGAGATCAAAGTAAGCTTGTGACCTCTTTTCTTCAATTTCAGTTCCGTTCATTAAACTGAGCCTGATCTAGATTTTCTGGATACAGTGGGGACCACGCAAGTGTCATAGCTGCCAGAAAGAATTGGTGGCCGGCTTATAAGCATTAAGCAAGCACTGCGACTGGTGTGGTCACTCACAAGTTTTCACTCTCGAATGACTTTCATACATATCAATGCACTCTGTGCAAGGAAGTATTCATTCCCTGTAACCAGCCATTTTACAAGAAATCCTATTGTATAAAAAGTGTGTATTACTACCATCGAAGGTCAGGAAGCTTTCTTTGATTATGATTAAGGTTCATTTTAGCTTTTTTTCTTTCAACCAGTGTGCCATCTTATAAAATATGTATATACAGTATTGCTTTTCTTAAAAAAAAAAAGTGTCCAATGGATCTCAAAAATTAAGGGGGGGAGGGGTAAAGCCTCTGATTATATTATCTCCACAACTGGCGATTCCCTGTGGAAACTGGCTGGTGTATATATAGAACTTGGCATTTGTAGTACTTAGTTCCATTTTCTCACGTGCTCAGGGTCACCAAGAGTACCGCAATGTGAAAAGGCAATTTTAATTTTGGCCAAAATCCAGTTCCGAGTCACCCGGTTAAAATAAGCAGTACAATTTATTTTACCGAAACAAAAAAACCCCCACAAATTCAACCCTTCAGCTGTATATGCTGTTTTTCTCACTACTTTGGTAAATTAGCTAAATCTGTTGTGTGGCATACTTTAAAGGAAAAAAAATGGATTGTCCAAAAAAGAAAAAATTAACAAAAAAAATATGTTACCAACTTTCTTGTTGTTTGGCTTTCATTCAGTAAACTGTAACAATGTACCTACTAGGTTCCTCCTGAGAATACAGGTACATCACCAAGGAGAGCACCATCCCCCACAGTCCATCTCCATACGGGGTCACCTACGTCATCTGTGGGTTCTGGTAGTCCCGGGCGAGGCAGGGAACTGTCCTCGAAAAAGAAAAAGGGGCTGATTTCCAAAGGGAAGAAACTTCTGAAAAAGCTTGGTGCAGTGAAATGATTTCGTGTTCATCTGGACAACCTATAAAGCTTCAGATCTATGTATTTTTTTTTCTTAACAAAATAAAATGATTAAAAACTTCAAAAAAACAAAACAAAACTAGGGCTTTCATGACTATTCTGAACCTCTTTCTATAGAGAACCTGGCCATTTCCTAACACATTCCGACATCAGCAAAAACATCTTTGACTGGTTTGGTGTCAAGTTCCTTAAATCTGATGGCAAGGAGGGGAGGGAGGGGGAAAATATCAACGTGGCATTCTTACTAAAAAGCACAGTGTTGCCAACATGCATTTTAAAAATATATATAAAGGGAAGACTGAAGGGATTGAGGAACATCACGAGAACCAACCATCTTATGACAAGGCAACTCTCTTCCAGCTACCAACTTTGGATACATTTTGGTACGTTTCCCTCCCTTAAAGTGGAGAAAGAAAATCTTGTTCTTTGATCCCTCTTCTGCCGTTTACCCACAACTTTACACATAAATGGTCTTGAAACTCCTAGTTTATTCCGCCTTGATGTTTGCCTTATTAATGCACAAATGATTTGTACTGTCTAAACTATACAGCGTATACTTTGTATGTACTGTGTATTCAACTGTCTTTCCATCCTTCACCAAGACATTGGTAATTTTAAAAGATCAAGTAATTGGTGTTGCGGACTCCGTTCAATGTCCAATGTAATTCCTGGGAGTCTGAAAGTGTTGTGCAAAGATGCATTCTTAAACATCTGTACGAGTTCTGCTATTCAACCTCTCAAGTACATCAAAAGCCAGATTTACTGCATAAAAAAATATTCAGAGAATGCACAGTCAAGCCATTTTAAATATATATATATATATATATTTCTGTAGGTCCTGGCACCAGTAAAGGTTTTGGTATTCCAACAGCCAGATAATTTTTCTAAAAAAAAAAAGTATCTTGCAATGCAGTTGAGCTGGACACCATTTTTTTGGTACTGATCTCAGAAGTATGCTAGACACAAAAGTGAGGAAGTACTACAATGAGAAAGTTGTGTTATTCACTGACCATCGCCAGCAAGAAGTTACTAAAACAGATAAAGATTGCAACGTTTGCCACTACATACTATGTCCTAATATTGGCATTATGGTTTGGGAGGGGGGGGAAAGATTTTAAAAAGCCCTATGTAGTTGATGGCAGGCATATTTGGCTGTTACTCTTTTGTAACTTGTCCATTTGTAAATTCTTTTTACTGTTTATACATACTTTTCAGACTGCCTTTCTTTTTGTAATTGATGGAAGGTTTATAATATGAATGATCAAAGCTTTTCCCCATTGTGTCTTCAAAGAAATATAATGTAAATTCTTGTAAAATAATCTAGTGTGCTAGATTTATGAAATTAAAAGAAAAATACTGGCCTAAATTTGTGGTAAAGTATTGTGTGGGCGTGTGCATGTGTACAGTTGTTCATGTGTAAAATATTTTATATAAATAAATTTGATATTTTGTAGGTTTGTCTTTGTTGCCTCTTTATTGACGAAGTTAGGAAGGCGGCAAGCTCTTCCAAGGATTCAGAAACCCCAAAGAGCCCAGTCTCTCTTCTAATACACCCTCCACAGCAATGCAGTCATTCTTTTTCAGAGTATCAAGAGCAGGCATAGGCAAACTTGGCCCTCCAGATGTTTTTAGGACTACAACTCCCATCATCCCTAACTACCAGGACCAGTGGTCAGGGATGATGGGAGTTGTAGTCCCAAGACATCTGGAGAGCCGAGTTTGCCTATGCCTGATCAAGAGATTTTGGTTTAAGACAGATTGCCAAGCACCCCAGCCCTCTTAAGCAGTACTAACACTATATGCCCCTCCCCGCCAAATTATGAATGAAATCATTCAAACAAGTCTCTCAGGAATCCATTTTCAGTCTTTCTTGAAGGAGCAAGCCGGGATGCATGTGTATACATCCAATAAACGAACAGTCAAGGTAAGTAATTCCCCCCATCAAGGGCTGGGGACCATTTTCCTCCACACCTATTTACTGCCCTCCAACTGTAGGCATTCCAAACAGACATTAAGCATAAAGGTAAAGCAGACATAATCAGTGCTCACAAGCTAAGCCAGTAGCTGCTGTTTGTCGGCTGGCTGGCTGAAACAGCAGAAATAAATCAATTGAACTAAATGGTGCTTACTACAGAGTAGACATGCATTATTTTACTTTGACCTTGCCATTCACAACACCTCAGAAATAAATCCCCTGGAACAAGGTTGTCCAACACGGAGCCCACAAGGCACCTGGCAGGGCAGGGAACTGGAAGTGGCTCCTGGGGTGCTTTCCCAGATTTGGAAAGGAGGGCTCTAGGACCGTGTCTTTCCCAAAGCCCGGCAAGTGCGACCAGATTTTGAGGTGTCCTTTGGCTTGGTGCCCAGTGTGGGGGACGCAGTTGTGCTGCCCTAAACCTGGCACTACCCACTGCCCACCAGTATCAGAAAGGAGGGAGTGAAGGGCTAGGTGAGAACCACCTCCAAGTCCCGGGAGGAACAGAGACCTGGCAGTGCTGCTGCTACTGCTGCTTAGTTGGGGGGCTCATGGGCTCTGGTGTGTGTAGGTTAAGGGTCTACCTGGAGGCCAGAGGAGTTGAATCAGTGGGGTAGGGAGAAGCAGCAGAGATTTGGGGCCATCTGGGTGGGTAGGTAGGTGGTGTGGAAAAACCTGCCTAGTGGGGAAGAACAAACATAGGCTCCTGGTTTTAGATGGACATAAGGCTCTTTAAATCTCCCCCTTGCCAAAGATCTCACACTTAACCCAAGATCCCTGGGTTTTTCCTCATTTCCGGGCTTTGCATCTACTAATTTGTCAGGTACCCTGAGCTTGTGTATTAAATTTAACAAATATTCATACTATTAATTGTATATTTATATATAATTAAATAACATAACCATAATGCAAACTTTAACAATATGGCCTGCAGGGTTCTGTGTCAAAGTACTGCTTTGGCCCACTTGGTCTGAGGCTGAACCACCCTGCCCAGCTACAACTTGGTAGGATAAATCTGTTCTGGAGGGGGCTCTTTTGCCTACAATTTCCATGAAAAAGAATAAAGTTACAGCTGCAGTAACATCTAAAGATGTTAATATTTTCCATTATATATGTCAATGGGGAAGAGCAGAACTTTTGTTTGTCCAATCTGACTTGCTATTTGGATGTAAATTGGATCTATTAAAAGCAGAATGGCTCCAAAACAGGTTGGACGGCTTTCCAACACTACACATACAAGACAAATCTTGTGCCCACTACATATTTTAATTGACCCCAATTATTTAATGGGGACGTGGGTGGCGCTGTGGGCTAAACCACAGAGCCTAGGGCTCGCTGATCAGAAGGTTGGCGTTTTGAATCCCCGTGATGGGGTGAGCTCCTGTTGCTCGGTCCCTGCTCCTGCCAACCTAGCAGTTCGAAAGCATGTCAAAGTGCAAGTAGATAAATAGGTACCGCTCCGGCGGGAGGGTAAACGGCGTTTCCGTGCACTGCTCTGGTTCACCAGAAGCGGCCTAGTCATGCTGGCCACATGACCCAGAAGCTGTACGCCGGCTCCCTCAGCCAATAAAGCAAGATGAGAGCTGCAACCTCAGTCGGTCACTACTGGACCTAATGGTCAGGGGTCCCTTTACCTTTACTATTTAATGAAGAAACAATTGAGGACTTAGTCTTCTATTTAAGCTTACTGTGTTCACTCATTCTCCGGAATGAAAAGTACCAATAAATTCAGATTAATGTGTTAACAGTTTATTGAAATGGAAATATATGGATCTTTAGCAAGAACCACGTTCAAAAAACCAAGTACACTTTATCAAACAAAACTAACTAAAAATTCATCTTGCTGAAGTCACAAGTAATAGCTTGACATAATACTAAGTGAAACAGCATAGCATGATGAAACAATCGTTTGTTTTTTTAAGCTCCACATTCAAGACATCTCTAAAAGGGAGAAAAATGTCTACGATACAAGTTATCTTCCCATACTGTTCTTCATCCTCTCCTGTAAGATCACAAGTAATAGAGATTCTCTGACAGCGACAAGTTAGGTTCCCTGTGTATGCTCTGACCCACAAGGAAAGCCAGCTTGTGGGCATATTGGCAGGGAGCAGGAACTCTAATAACCCCCTATGGAGAAAACAAACACATTACAGGAGGCAGGTACAGCAAGCTGGTGCCCTCCTCTTAGGCACATCACAAACTAAAAGTTGCACTTTCAAAGGACAAATATGATGAAGAGACAGGGCCTAAGATAGCACAATTATCATTAAAATGTACATCTCAAATTCAGCTTAGCTGCCTCCTCCATTCCGCCTTAATGGAAATCTACCCAGAAATCTCCTTTCTGCTGCCCTCACCAACAGAAGTTAAAAATCAACAAGAATCTAAATATTCTGTTGAGAATGTGGAAGAGAGGTGGGACCAAGTCTCTCATGTCTCCTCTCAAAAGAATGACTGGAGAATTGTTTTACTTTCAAAGGACCTTCTTATTGAGAAATGTCATTTGGCCGCATCTGGAGAAATGCAGTTTGGTCCCAATGGATTTATGCTCATGGCTACAATGTACTACTGATGCTGGGTAATATGATTTTGTGATGGCCCTTGTGTGAGGTTCTGCAAGTAAACAGAATTTAAGACATTCTCATTAGTGGCATTCAATCTATCAAAGCCACCCATAACAGGATTCCTGAGCTAGTTTGCATGTCACAATAAGCTAGTCTTAAACTGCAGTTTAGCCATCAATGTATCTCTGACGTGCTATGCAGATCCCCATGCAGCTTTCTCTGGGTTCAGATTAGATTACAAGACTCATTTGAGCTGCACTGGGTGGGAGGAGCAGAATGGAATGGAGCCATATGTATGATTCTACCAGGCTTTTAAGGAAACTGTCTTATGACACATGAAGAATCACCTCAACAGGATGCAATTATAGTTAGGTGGGCTTCTTCAAGCCAGTTTTCTGCTTCAGACACAGACAAATTGTATTAATGTGTTAAGCAAAAGCAGCATGCACGGTAAGGGAACACTTAAGCAAATTCAGCTAGCTTGCTTGTCTACTTACTAATTTGGATACCCTCTGCCCCGTATTTCTGCCTCCCCACCCCACCTCATTCAGAATTTTATTGATTCTTAAGGAATCGACTAGCAGGCAGAAATGCTAATAAGCCTTACAAAAACGAAGTTGCATTACCAATTCTCTTTCTACCCCAAATGGATGACTGTGGGCAGAGGAGCCCACAACAAGCTTTTTGTTGGAACTCACATCTGTTCCCAAATGTACTGGAGCAAAGCAGAACTAAAAGTGGAAAGTTACTCCTCCCCAAGCGTCCAGAGCAAAGATTCTGAACCTGATTTGCAGGAACCCTGCTTATTAGAGGACCTGGGAGGAGTTAACTCATTTGAGGATATCATCTGCTGAGAGAGAAGTGTATTTATTGTACGTATACTTACTGGCCAGTTGTAATACATATGGCAGAGCTTGTATGTTAGCCTCTGCATGTAGTCCGGCTTCAGGGCACTATTATCATAGATTACATTGTAGTGGGTTGGTGCAACACTGCCAGTTCTCACAGACTGACTCACAATAAAGAAATCGTACCTTTAATAGAAGAAAATTACAATTCAGAATGGAATTCCAGACAAGTGCAAGTTAAGGAACACATGCTATGAGGGGAGAAACTTTGTGCTAGCCATCAGGCAATGGCTTTTTCCACCTGCCTTGTCCTACCCTCCAGCCTTAAGAGCCTTTGTAAGGGAGCTGTTTCTAGAGGAAAGAACTGTGAGGGGAGAGAGACTGTTTGCCATCAGTGTGTGGTTGGTTTCACCCCACCTCCAGCGTGAGGAACCTTCAGATGAGTAGCTGCCACAGGCATTGTGTGTCTTTTAATGAGCTGAACAGAAAGAAAGATTATGAAGCATAGGGATGGGGAATGTGTGTGCATGAATTTAACAGTGCTTAGTTTGTTTTTTGGTTGCCATTTTGCTACTGTTTTTAATATTGTTTTAGAGATTATAAGTGCTATATTAATTTGTTAATCATATAATATGAATTTGCCTTAATTGTGATGTTCTACTTATTTTTTAGTCATTTTGTTAATAGTGTTTTATAGATTGCAATTGTTTAACTGATGACGTGTTATTCTATGATTCTTTATTTGTAACATTCAGGTTATTTACTGTTTAAGCTGCTTTGTAATTCATTTGAATGAAAAGTGGCATAATGAATGACCTCTCTCCCCCCACCCCACCGACAAAGAATAATGCACACACTTTCCTAGGTTTTGCTTAATCTATACCAAACAGTGTGTATCTAGCAAGTATCTAGAATTGTTGGGTGCCTTCCGAAGTGCACCCTTTGATTTAGCACCTTCATCTGAAGTCCACTCAAGGTAAATACAAGTCAGAGGAGTAATCCATTGTATTCATTCATACAAGGATACCTTCTCACACAGAAGTAACAATTGTTTACAATAAACTGTATTTCACTGTGGATGTACAGAGGATCCCAGATTACTTCCAGAATCTCATCACTCAATACTTAGTTGTCTCATGGGATGAGAGAGAGGCAGCATCTCTCACTCCTGCTTGCTCTCTAGCTTCCTGAAAGGGGGCAGGAGCCCTTGTGCCATCCAAGGTACATTTAGAAGGCAGTAGTGCAGGGAGCAGGTCCTAAGGAGCACTAGGTTGAGGCATGAAAGGAGGAAGGGAAAGTTCAGGTGCAGTGTGCTGAATTATAGCAAACTTGTTACAGCAAGACAGGGAGGAGACCAGAAGGAAAAATATACTGTATACGGAGAGCAGATTGTGGTGGCAAGAAGACCTGATGTAATGGCAACTGTGCCAAAGGCATCACTTGTGGGTTCAGAAACAGACTGGGCTGAGACTCCCTGGCAAGCCTGAAGCAGTTTGGCCCCAGGAACAAGTTGCTGAGATTGTGGGGGAAGGAGATTTTCCTCTGACGGATTAATAGGCCACACAGGAGGCCACATAGATCAACAAAGTCAATTCTCTTGCCCACTGTGCTGGAGTCCACAGAAGAAAGCAGCTCCTGGGTCTCCCTAACTCTGCAGTGGCTGAATTGAGGAGGGAACTTGCCATGCACGGAGCAATGGTGGGATAATGTGCTCCTCCACAGCCATGGAAGTGTTCAGCCTTGGTGTAACGGGTGAAGAGGCAGTGAATGAAGCAGGGATGCCATCACACGAGACAAAAGCCTCCAGACTGGGAGGAAGGACCTTCGCCCAGCTCCCCGAGTTCTCAAAATGGCAATGAATGTCCCACAATTCTGGCTGCCGGCTATGACTACTGCTAAGTGCTACCCCTTGCTTAAAATGCAGCTTATGCTTCCTTTGTCTGCTTTGTTTTTTCAAAGGTGGGTAAGGAGAAGGAATGCAACGGAAGGAAAGTACAAGGTAAAGAATAGCAATAGAGAGGGAAACTCCAGAAAGGGTGTTGTTCTGAGCCGAGAAAGGAAACAATGATCCTCAACAAGAAGGGAAAAGTCTTCTGTTGAAGTTCTGGGTGTTTGTTGCCTCTGAACTGCAAGAACACGGCCTACTTGGAGACCTCTGGCATCCACAGAAGAATTGGCTATTTCCCAGTCAAGAACCATAGCAAGAATACTGGTTATTAACAAGGATTTGGCAAAAGCAATCCAGGCAACAGCTCAATTATCTTCCATATGCACAAAGTTTACTTGCAACTTACCATTCTGGTCTGGTAACTTCCAAATCAATAACTGTGCCAGGAGGTGGATTCTGAAGTCTTCCACCAAGCTGAGCAAAGAATCTTGTATTCACACGCTTCTTCACCACTATCACTGTTAGTTTGGGACTTGAGAAGATCACATAAGAAGTTTATATACAGTTACTAATTTGAAATAAAACAGTACGTTAAGAAACCTACTCTAATATGGTGGCAATTAAGTACAACAGAAACACTTTTACCAGGTAGTGGAAGGCTATGCTAGATCAATGAGAAGTGGTTCAATAAAGCCATCTCATTTACCCATTTGATATTCAGGTATGCCAGATGGCATCACCAAGCTTACCTTTTATGGAGCCATTGCATGTGATTAACCATGACATGATCATGTCGGATCACTTAACTTACTTGTAGTCCTGCCCAACAGCTTTCAAGCACTCCAGAAATTGAGGAACTTCATAGTTAACCAAGGTTTTCAGTTGACCATCTCCAACACCATCTCGATACACAATAATGCGAGAAGGCATGTGGTTGTTGTAGGTATACCAAGTCCTTAAAGCAGCTTTAGGAGAAAACATCAGTGCATCAATTTACTACTAATGTTATTCCCTTTGGCCGCCAACACACCATTAAATTAAAAAAGCAGTCTGTTTATAGCGCCTCCCTCAAAATGTCAAGCTTAGTAAAACTGGTTTCCTTCACTCTTGTGTTTTGAATGGAAGCACTTTATCTTTTTCACAGGAATAAATTAACTGTCCACCCTGCTAAGACAACTTCCCATTAAAGTGAATTTTATAAGCAAGCTTGTTATAAATCAGTTTGTTATATAACAATTTGTCTGGTTAAAGGAGTACTTTTAATTTATAAAATATTAGTAGAAATGGAAGGATCAAGAAGATCAATTAAAAGAGGTGTGGGGAAAGGATACAACAGGGCAGATAGACAGTCAAAGCTGGGGGGAAATATGGGAGAAAGGTATGTTGAAAATGTTGTCTATAAGAATAAAAGAAAATTATAAATTAGGTTGGAGATGGTATTTAACACCAGTCAGATTAAATCAAATAAACAATGAATATTTGATGTTATGTTGGAGGGGATGCCAGGAAACTGGGAATTATGTTCACATGTGGTTGGGCTATAAATATGTACCATTTCTTTGGCAAAGGGTGTTTAAAGAGATAACAGAAATCATGGGGTTAAAGCTGACTGAAAGTTCAGAGGTTGCATTATTATCAATTTACATTGGGTGGAAGGTTCGTAGGCTATGAAGGACTTGCTTGCAAATTTATTGACAGCTGCACGAATTATTATAGCTAGGAAGTGGAAGGGGCAAGATGAATATAAAATGGAAGAATGGTATAAAGAAGTGTGGGACATATCTATTAATGATAAATTAACATGTGCCATTAAAGTAAGATGGGGAATATGCAGGAGAAATAATTTTGAGAAGGTATGGACAGCGTTTGTAGAATTTTTACTGTTACAATGAAAAGGGCTCAAACCATTACAAGAGGTGTTGAAATTTGGGGAAGTTGGATAGTTACAATGGAATGGTCTTGGGTGGGGTGCACATTTTTACTATTTACGATTATTACTTAGTCGAAATAAAAAATAGGTAAATTAAAAATAATAAAGGAGTGCTTTTAAAGATTCATCTAAACCAATATATTTAGCACTCCAAATTTGTGTAAATTTATAAAATATTTGGGCATGACCCAATCAAAGATTAAACACCAAGGCAAAACATATGCTCCTCTCTCCCAGTGAAGGTAATGGAATTCAAAAGTATCCATTTATTAACAGAAGGATAACCTTTATTTACACCAGGCATAGGCAAAATCTGGCCCTCCAGATTTTTGGGACAATTCCCATCATCCCTGACCACTGGTCCTGTTAGCTAGGGATGATGGGAATTGTAGTCCCAAACATCTGGATGGCCAGAGTTTGCCTATGCCCGATTTACACCATCCCCACCCCACTCCCCAGTTGTATTTGCATTAGGAAAACTGCATGAAACAAGGATAAACAACTCCCAGCTGCCACTGAGTGTGGAGTGGAGTGCTTTGACCTGCTTTCAAGAGCAGTGGGCTATTGGCTGTGCCACCAAAGGCACCATCAGCAGATTGGGGCATGGGGCTGGGCAGGTCTTTACAAACAGCTTGGCAAACCTGATCAGACCCATGGTTACCAATTCATCAGTCCCTTAAAAAAAAAGAAACAGGGAAAATGACACACATAAGTTCTTAAGTATTTAAGTTTACCTTGCAAGCATACTTTAAGTCCATCTACAAGTTCTTGTCCACGATCTTGAAGGACACAGCGTGAATACCAACTGTTGTGAGAAAAGAAAATGCTTCAGCCAAAATAAATTTTCCTCGTCATTACTGTGACAGCAGCCAAGTACCTGAAGTCTCTCTCTGTATGATAACTGAATTTGACTTTATTACAAAGTAGAAAGTGTGTGCAGCACAAGCCAGGCAGCTGAGAAAGTTCATGTAATACTTTTGATTTCTCCGATAAATTGCCTTTTCATAAAGAAAACTAAAAAACAAAGTGCTGCAATTAAAAAAAAAAAACCTTAAGATTTTTACCGTGTCATTCCCTGATTCAGGCTTGCAACAAATCCTGCAATTGACCTCCGGCCAGCTGTGGTGTCATGGTAACAGTCAATTCCCACAATCATGAGTTGTTTCAGCTTGAAAAATATTAAGAAAAACAGAGTGCGCTACAAACTCAAAAATCCAAGTTTCCAATATATTAAAATTAGCTTTTGCGCTAAATAGTTATGGGAGCTATTCAAGAGTCATACTCAGATCTCAAAGGGCACACGGTACTAGCTAGATGGATATCCTCTTAAATTCCCATTAGTCTGACCCAATCTCAATCTACTGATATAAAATAAATAAAATAAGATAAAAAAATTCCTTCCAGTAGCACCTATTACTAATAGTAGAATTTGCTGATGTGTTTACAGTGACTGTCGTAAGTCCATTAAGGCGAGTATCATATTTGAAGGTTTCTACATAAAACCAAAGCTTCTTATTCAGTCTACAAGAAAGTATTTATTAGCAACTGAAGGGTTTTTTTAGTATGGATGTGCACAGCTTTGAACGAATACTGAGCCAATGTGAGCTGTGTTCTAAGGTATGCATGCTTTGAAGGCAAACAAGTGCATTTGGGCAGGGGGAAGGGGGAGAAGACACTTCTACAGTTCTTCCTTTTTCTCTCTTTCACATGGTGCTAGCACTTAGGGACTACAAGCTTTTAAACTGCAATCCCAAATCAATTCCAGCCTTTGTTACTGTGTGGGCCGTTTCGGACAACTCCCCAGTTCCCTTTTATCCTGATAATAGAGAAACAAAGCAAGAAGCTAGGTTAAACAGATCACAAAGTTAACAGGAAGAGTCAAGTGGGATTACGAAGAAATTGGGTTAAAGAATAAAACTTCATAAGCCAATCTAAGCACATTCAGTATTTATGTGTAGATATTTGACAATGCTAGGGATGTGGGTGGCGCTGCGGGTAAAACCTCAGTGCCTAGGACTTGCCGATCGCAAGGTCGGCGGTTCGAATCCCCGCGGCGGGGTGAGCTCCCTTCGTTCGGTCCCAGCTCCTGCGCACCTAGCAGTTCGAAAGCACCCCTAAGTGCAAGTAGATAAATAGGTACCGCTTTATAGCAGGAAGGTAAAACGGCGTTTCCGTGTGTGGCACTGGTGCTGGCTCACCAGATGCCGCTTAGTCACGCTGGCCACGTGACCCGGAATTGTCTCCGGACAGCGCTGGCTCCCGGCCTCTTGAGCGAGATGAGCGCGCAACCCTAGAGTCTGGCCCGTACGGGCAGGGGTACCTTTACCTTTTATTTGACAATGCTAACAAATGGAATGAAGTAAACAATTATACTTGAAAAGAACTACTTACTGGTATCTCAACACTCCAGAGCTCCCCACCCATTTTACAGTTCATCTGTAAAGCAATTTTTGTGGCTATGGCCATTACTGTCTGGGGTTTACTCAATGTCCGAGCGAGCACACATTGGCTTGGAGTGGGGCAATCGGTACACAAGTATTTCTTGATTGCATCGTACTTGTCTTTACGGTTACTGGAGAGGAGGCAAACCACCTTTTTAAAAAAATGAAAGAAAAACTTCAATGTATCACAATTACTATTGAAAAGTTTTCTATCTTCTGGCATGCTCAAGCTACAGTGTGATACGTAACTAGGGCCAGTTGGCCAACCTGCATGTCTCCCAGCAGCATACTGATGTGTAGGACCACAATGGTGGCCTTCCACAACTGGATGGAATGATCAGGAATGCTCAGCATGCACAGCCCAAAATATGGAATGACAGGTCTCTACAATGCACTCTGTAACCTGCCCATTGATAATGGGTCTGGAAACCTTTATCATCCTAGGCTCCCACATTGTACCAGATAACAAGGAATCTGTACATCTCAAGTCCTTGGTGCAACACACATAGACCCAAAAGCCTCCCTGGATGACAAGTCTGGTGGACTGGTTTTGGGAATTTTCTAATGCCAATAACACCTTTTCTTCAAATAAACCAACAAAAGGAAATTCAATTCAAGCTTTTTCCAGCATGATTCAGAGAATCTACAGCCACCACACCATGTTTCAGCATTATATCTTCTAAATCACTTAATACATACCATCTTTGTATCTGAATCAACTTTTTGCTTCAAAGTTCTCAAATATGCTTCTGTTCTGTCCTCTACTTCAATCCTACAAAAAAGGCCACGTTTTACTGTACTTTATTCAACAGCACCTATCCCAATTTAAGAAACTCAATAGCAATGAATCCCTATTATTTTAATAGTGCATACAGTGCCTAAGAATCCCAGAGACTCCACTGAAACTCTCAATTTTTGAAAGATAAAACAAAGATTAGGTGTTCTAGATGGTATTGCAAATTCTCCTGAACATTCCTATGGTTTCAAAGTAGTTTATTGGAAATTCTGACAAATTACTGTGAGTACAAATTTTCTTGATTTAACCATCCTAGTACAGTACAATTTCTGAAATAAAGCAATATAGTTTCTAGATTGTAAGTGTCTATATGGTACTTACATCATTGCCTTGTTCATCTGTATACCCATTGCTGGTGTGACTTTGAAAAGATTCTGTACTAATGCATTAGCTGCATCATAATTTCTCCGTGTGTAGATTAACAGCCAGTTATCCAAAGGCTTTACACTGATTAGAGATACTCCCCTGGTTTCTTTAGACCAGTCTGCAAGTTGCGGATTGTAGTCAAACTGAATTAGAGAAGATTCCAAAGTAATCATCCAGCATGAACATAAATCCAAGTCTTAAAACATTTTTTCTTGAGCAACACATGTTGCTTGATGAGAATAATCTGTTCTGGCTATATTTTAAAATGCATTAAATGAAGTAAAAGGTTAACTTACCACTTTCCCTCCTTGATGGATCTTTTCTGACTGAACAACTCGTCCCGAAAAGGAAAGCAAGTTGGATTCAAAACTTAAGCCCCAATCATGGAGTTCTTTCTGGACATTATCATCTCTATTTAGATATATAAAATAAAAACACTGGAGTTACATTATTTGTGCTAATCTCTTTTTCTGGGAAATAGCAGGCTCATGTTTCTTAGCAAATCAACACTGTGCAACTATTATCTGAATATGATTTAAGTAACGTACTTGTTAATATAATCAATGAGCCTTCCAACTTCACGCATTCTCTGGTCTGGGGCAAGTCTTGTATGAACAGACAAGTCTTTCATAACGGTAAAATCACTTCGCATTTTATCAGTTAAGCCTACAAATATGAAAAAGATTATTTAAGGCAAAATGTCACATAGAATAGGGCTACCATATGTCCCCGGTTTCACAAATCTGTCCCCGGACAAATTCCGTCCCCGGAATGTCCCCAGATTTGCAAATCTGTCCCCGGGAAACGTGACAGCGGCAGCCTCAGTTGGCTTTGGCTGGCTTCAAGAGCTTCTCACTGTTGCGAAAAGACACAACATATGGGGACACAACCAGCAGCTCCTGAAGCCAGCCAGAGCCAACTGTGCTACCAGGTTGGCTCCAGGCTGCTGACTGCCGCTGCCACTGCCAAAGGGGAACCGGGGACGTCAGGCGGTACAGATCTCCTGCCCCCTTTGTTTTGACTGATCGGGGGAGGCTCGGGAGTCGCGGCCGGCCAACCGTTGCCCAGTTTTTTAAAAACTCTGTGCATTTTTGTTTCACAGGGTGCAAAAGAAGGGCCTTGCACCTTGCCTGGTAGAGAAACAGTGCCTTGTGCCCCTCCTGGGCAACGCTCACCCGCCCACGACTCCTGAGCCTCCCTTGATCTGTCAAAACAAAGGGGGAAGGGGGCAGATCAGCGGGGAAGGCTCTGGATATGCATGTGTGCTTGGGCCCAGGGTCTTTTGCCTCTCCATCCCCACTACTGACTCCCTGTTGCTACTCAGCTTCGAAAGAAAGAAAGAAAGTGCCCCCAGATTCATTGAAAAAAATCTGGTAACCATAACACAGAAGCCACTCTTTCTTATCCGAATATACAGCTAGGCAATAGTTAACTAAATTCAGTTCTCCCTGTGCGTCCATGTGCTCGCACCCCCCCACAAGCACCTCATTTATTATCCAACTGCTACAAATGTAACTGTAAGATTCCTGTGAGAGTGTTAATGTGAAGGACCCTATCAGCACTACATCCATAGTTTAGCTACCAGAACTATGCTGAGTGGTGTCAACAGTACAAGGTATGACTGTACTCCCAAGTAAAAATTTGTCTTGATCCAGAATATTAACAAAAATACTGAGAGGCAGATAACATGACAGAAAGCTTACTTTTAATTGTAATATACCTGTAAGGTAGCAAAGTTCAGGAACAAGTATGGCTGGACCTGCCATGACACCTCCTGGGCCCGTCTTCCTCTTCGGCTGACTCACCAAAAGTGGTTGATTCAGGTCTTTGATTTCTTGGCTATATTGCTGTATTAAAAGCACATCATCTAGAATTTAGTTTTGCAAAACTTTTTGACTATGAAGTCAGAAGGAGCTGTGTCACATGGAGAGATGCAGGTTCCACAATATCATAAATATGGCCAACGGAAGATGATAGCAGCTGCAACACTTCTGAACACAGAACATAATGCTAGGACCCACTGAGTGGCATGCCACAATGGAAAAAAAGAAAATTAGTTTCACATCCTTTAAATAATAGAACAGGCCTATTTTAAAAAAAGAACTCTTCCCTCCCCAAACTAGCCTTGCAGTGTAACCTTTTGCAGGGTGCCCTATATGGCAGAAAATGTGTGGAACTAGATCACCTGGCAAGGTCCAACACAATGGACTGTGCTTGGTTTTAATATATTGTGATCTGCCCTGAGCCTCTGGAATGGAGCAGAATATAAAGTCCAAGTAAAAAACAACAACAGCCACCACCCAAAAAGTATCTGTACAATCTATAGTGTTGTGAGTTTCGGGGGAACCCCCTAAATGCTAGAAATTAGTAAATGGCAGAATTTTGATTATTTGAGTATTGAAGGGATTGCAGACCAGAGGAAAAACACTAAGCTTTCTTTCCAAGTCAGGGCCTCACCTGGGATAGAAGTTGTTAATATGACAAAAGGTGTTGATAGCCCATCTAATAGGAAACCTGAGCCCAGGCAGACAAGACTGCCAGGGTAACTGGGCGTGAGGTGACAAGAAAAGATTGTTTTGAGCATGGTGTGTGGGGTAGACTGGAGAACAAACATTGAGATCCATCTTGGCTGAAGGCTAGCTGGGAGTGATGCCTTTGGCTCCAGTGCTATGGGGAACAAACCCTGCCTGAGATGACCATGCTGTACGTTCTGGCCTCCCTCTATGCAGACTGAAGGTGTAAATATGTGAATAAATCAGTTCTTAAAGCTATGACAGTCTCTGCTGCACCTTCAATTCTTGAGCAGAAACCCTGAGTGAGCGCCTGGAATGCCCTGGAATCTTGCTACTGCTTAGCAGAGAGTGGGGGGTAGCACCCAATTTTTGTAACAGTAGTAATAAACTCCCTACAGCCACTAAAGTAAGTTCTGCAAATACTGGAGATGCTCAGCATATTCATTAAAAATATATCATTTGTGGATGTACAGGAAAGGACCAGAGTGGGGCTTATGAAAAAGCAGCAACCCTGCAATGTAGTTTCACTCATCTCATGTCCCAACATGATACTGAGCCCCATATCTGCCAAAGGCAGCCAATGGCAAAGAACAGGAGCAGTGAAACAACACATTTCAGAGCAAAGACAGGAACACCAAGCTGCCATTTTTAGTATCAACCCTATACTTTTTGTAATTTGTTATTTCACCCTGAACGGAAGCCTACCAATACTTTACGTCACCAATAATTACATAAAGGGAGACAAGGGGATGAGTGAGATGAAACAGATCCACCTGTACAGGAGGTAGAAAATGGGTGTGGGGTCTCTATAGAGGCAAGGCAATCTACTGAATATGGAGACTATAGAAGTCCACACCCCTTTTTTCCTCTCAAAATTATTTCTGGATTCTCACATAAACAGTAGCAAAAGACATGCCTTTGGGGTCGCAAGTATTTGCCTACAGTTCAAGATCCATATCTTTAAATAGCTAAGTTCACTGTATTATTTAACTGGTAAAAAGAAAGACAAACACAATGAGTACTTTTTGCAAATCTTAACTTTAGAAAAGCTAATGAGAAGGTTCAACACAGTGGAAGCCAATGTATCATACCATTTTGTAGTAGTCCATAAAGCTGATTTCAGTTCCATCTCCCTTCTTAAAGGAAGCTTGGGGATTGGAATCCCAATCAATGTCATCAACTCGGTATGTTTTGTTGTTATATCTGGCAAAGTTTTGAAAAGTTCTGTTAATCTTGCTTCCTTTGCGATTTCAGCATAAAACATTGTACAAAAAACTGTTAACAATACTAAATGACCCGGTATCAGACAGGAAACTGCCTTAGCATAACAGGAAAAGAGACATGGTGATACTTTCAGGCCCCCCAACTCAATTTGAAATAAAGCCTCTCTCAGTTGATTGTTTTATCCAAGTGCTGGAGAAAAGAAAAAGGATATTGTCAGAACATTTAAAACTCCTATCAGAAATACTTGCCCAAATCTGAAATAGAGAGGAACTCTGAAGAGAAACTCCTACAACAAGCAGACAAATTTGCAGAAAAGCCCTGGAGCAAATAGGAGGTAGCCCACCTTGGAAGTCCTCTTTTACGAATGGAGAATTTATATTAATTCAGCAGGATAGGGGAGCTTTATGACAGAAAGAGCATTTCAGGTCAACATTCCATCCCAAGTATAAGCAAAGTGCCCACAAAGGGGTAAAACATTATTCCCTTACAATCACTAAATTAAGTTGCTTTATTTGAAGTCAGATTTTTTTCATACAGAGGGTAATAGTAACTTTGTGCCTTTTGCTTACAGTAGAATATACTTCAATCAGCCCTGCGTCAACATTCCCAGAACTCTGCTAAAAAGCCTTCAGGGGGCAGAAGACTAAGTCAGGGAAGCAAGCAATACAACTTGCAATGTATGCACATCCTAAACACTATTTCTGTACCTTTAACAGAAACACTTATTTAGATTTTGGACCAGTAATACCCTTTTAAGTGCTTTCAACTATGTGCTCTTTAGCAAACTGTTCACTGCTTTCAAATATACTGTGCTAAAATAAGTAGGAACAGTGGAAACCCAAGTAAAGCAATACTATCCATTTATTAACAGCAACCAACTGTTTCTATACACAATCTAGACAACAGGTACTACAAGCATGGCTACAATTCCCTTCTGTGAGATCAAGTATAAGTAACCCCCCCCCCCCCCCGCAAATGATCAAACAAATCTTACCTTGTAAGAACAATCAAGCCAACCAGTTCTTTAGCACATATTTCCCTGAACCGCTGTTCTCCCACCTGCTCATACATGGAATACATAAAATCCAGAACAGTTTCACTCCTGAGAACTTTGTGGCTCACATCTGTGCACAACATGATACTTGTTTCGTATTGCAGAATGGAAGTTGTAAAACCTGGCCAAATCATCAACCTGCCATACAGACAGAGGACAGAATGTCATATCACAAATTGCCATTCAGTGGCCTCATTTGCAAGAGATGCTTTGTTTGATTAAACCCTGCCCAGTAAGTCAAGTATGGTTTGTTTACAGTTAACAGATCACAATCTGTTTATGTACTGTACTCTGGTTTAACTATGGCATGGTTTTACATAGGAACCAGGCCAACACTTTGAGAATACAACTGGAAATTTTTAGGAGAAGCTTTTCATTTAGTTACAATCATGCTTTGTAGAATCTGCCACTCAACAAAAAGAAGCACAATTCCAAAGGTCATGAAGTCAAAAATGCTTTCCTTATTTCTGAAATTCTAAATCTTCAAAATTTTATCTGAAAACGTATAATCCTCTTTCAAAATAAATGACAAGGCAGGTTGCAACATACAAAACACAATAAAACCTGCCTTTGACAGAATTAAAAACAAATAAAACCTCAGTAGATGCTGGTTTCACCTTGCCAACAAAGGTCCGTATAGTTAAAGCCATGGTTTTCCCAGTAGTGATGTATGGAAGTGAGAGCTGGACCATAAAGAAGGCTGATCGCCGAAGAATTGATGCTTTTGAATTATGGTGCTGGAGGAGACTCTTGGGAGTCCCACGGACTGAAAGAAGATCAAACGCATCCATTCTTAAGGAAATTAGCCCTGAGTGGTCACTGGAAGGACAGATCCTGAAGCTGAGGCTCCAATACTTTGGCCACCTCATGAGAAGAGAAGACTCCCTGGAAAAGACCCTGATGTTGGGAAAGATCACAAGGAGAAGGGGACGGCAGAGGACGAGATGGTTGGACAGTGTTCTCGAAGCTACGAACATGAGTTTGACCAAACTGTGGGAGGCAGTGGAAGACAGAAGTGCCTGGCATGCTCTGGTCCATGGGGTCACGAAGAGTCGGGCACGACTAAACGACTAAACGACAACAACAGATGCTGGTTGGTTTAAATAAAAATTCAAAGTGCAGTGCAGTTTTCAAAAAGTACATGAAAGAAGGAAGAGACAACTCCTGCTCAACTTCAACTGGCAGGGAGTTCCACAGGGCAGAATCTGCCCCACTGAAGGCACACTAAAAGCCAATCAAACCTCAGAGGCACAAGGAGCCACTCTAAGTGCCAAAGGTGACATATTAAGGGATCAGGTGTTCCTTAAGGAACTTTGGGCCTAAGCTGTTTAGGGCTTTGTGAATTAACACAAGCCCTTGAACCAGCCTAAAAGCAAATTGGCAACCAGTGCAGCTCACTCAGCAGTGGACTAAGATGTTGCCAGTAATCTGCTCCTGTAACCAGTTTGCCTGCTGTTTTATTATGCTCTAGCTGTAGCTCTCTGATGAAATACAAGAGCAGCCCCACATAAACCAATTACAATAGAGCCTTGAAGTTACCCTGCATGGCCCACCATGGTCAGGCTGTTGAGATCCAGGAATGGCTGCAGCTGGAATACCAGATGCAGCTGGTAAAAAAGCACTCCAGGCCACAAAATTCACTTGGACCTCTAGTGGAAGAGATGGAAACATGGTAAGAAGTACCCTCAGACTGCATACCTGCTCCTTCAAAGGAAGCACACCATCCAGAAGAGGCAATTGACCCAACTCCTGGACATAGTAACCAGCTACCCAGAAAGTATATCTTTCCAGGACCCAAGCTGTTTAACTGACCCTCAACCAGTCCACCATGGCCTAGATCTAGGCATCTGTCTAAGGCTTGCAAACCTTCTCCTGACACAGATGTAATGAGAAATTGTCTGATATCTACAGCATCCAATGATAACTTGCTCCAAAACCCCTAATTACCCCTCCTAACAGCCTCATATTGATGTTGAATAGCACTGGGGACAAAATAGTGCTCTGTTGCACCCCACTGCATAAACACCAGGGCCCCTTGAAGAGGACTCTCTCAGTGCAACACTTCATTCCCAACCCTGCAGTTAGGAACAGAGCCACCATAGCAGTGCCACTGATGTCCATCCCACCTATTTTATTTATTGAATTTATATACTGCCCTGCACACAGAGGTCTCAGGGCAGCTCACAAAATAAAATCAAAATACAATCAAAACGACAACAACTCAATAACCCTCCCAGCCCCCATTTTGAACATAGTCTGTTCAAAAAGGATACCATGGACAGTGGTACTAAAGGCCATTGCCCTTTTCTGAAAGGTCATCCATCAGGGGAACCAATGTTGATTCAGTCCCAAACTCATGTTTGAACACAAACTGGCAATGATCCAGATACAGTTAATCCCATCCAGGAATGTCTGCAATTCTTCCACTCGAAAAAAGAGAAATGCCCCAATAATCACCATATCCTGAAGGTACACTTGCCTGCTTCCAACAGAGACATGTTCAAACATTTCCACAAATAATTTTCTAAATAGACTCAAATAGAAAATCCTGCGACCCACATACAGTACGCACATCTTTGCAGTCAGCACTGTCTTCTAACTGCTAATAGGAAAAAACCTGAAAGAATACATTCCTTTGGAAATGCATTTCTAAAAAGTAAACATGCAGTCCACCATGTGCAATGGTGACCATTTATCTTTGTTGCAAGTAAACAATAAAAGACAAGTGCACACCTAACTCTAGCCATAGATCCTTGCAAAAGTAACTTCCACCCTTACCAATTATCTCATGCACAACAGTAAAGAGTTCTATCTCAGTGGCTCTTGAGTCACACAGTACATGTGCAGATGTTGGACATAAAAGTTCAGAGCTGGAAATGTGAAAGCCTCACTGCTTTGAAGCAGGCAGAAAGGAGAAGCTCATCACTGTAGACCAAGAAGCACAGCAAATGGGAGGAGTAATAACCTACTCCACTATCAGCAATGAGAGTTATTCAGAAGAGGCTGATGAAAAAAGCTGTATTATCTATAGCAGTGTTCCCCAACCTGTGGGATGCAACCTGCAAGTGGGTCACAGAGTCTGCAAGTGGGTCATTGGCTTCTTCAGTTAATCCAAAATGATCATTGCCTTTAACTGGTATGATGAATATCTTAGAACTTAGTTTCATTTGCATATTATAACGCTGTATTTATACTGGTCATCTAATATTAGAAAGACTTAAATCTTCAATTTTAACACTTGGAAACTGCTCTCTGACAGCACATCCAGTGGTGGTTCACAAGATGCTCAGAACTGTTTTGAGCAGGAGTGCCAACTAGCTCCACGGCCCGGGGCGTGGGTGCCATGCAGCATGAATGGCCCTGGCACCAAAATTTGTGGGTGCCTGGCCCCTTCATGGGGAATTTTTTGGGTACTTGGGCCTCAGGGAGTTGGCACCTATGGTTTTGAGTGGCTATTACATCTTGCTTCTAATGTGCAGGCACCAAAGGTATCCCATCCCTCTTACAACAAAAAGTTATAAGAGGTAAGTGTGAAACCAACAGCTGCCGAAGAACTATGGTCCACAATACATGTGACAATAAATCAATGCGTCACCCAAGTCAATTTGCCAAGGCAATTTGGATTTGTTGATCACCGTACCAAAATGGTTGGGAACCACATGACCTTATCTACAAAACGTAACAAAGCAAAAACAGCTGTTGGTCTATGCTACATATTACTGGGCAAAGTACACTATATAAAATTTAAGTACAGGTTATCAAAAAATTACGACATTATCCAAAATAGGTATGAGACACAATAAGCTGTTTAGAGTAAAAATTGGCTGACCTGAAAATCTGTTACAAGAGCACCAAAACATTTAAGCCCTATTTAATTACCTGTGCTTGGGAATACTGATTGGGTCACTTGGATTGTAATAATTTCGTCCAATTTGCTGCAAATTCATTATTTTCAGTAGCCTGGAAAAAAAATATATTTGGGAGTGGTTAGATAGTAAACAGTGCTACCAATCCACAGCATAGCACCTAAAATATAGGTTCTGCCATGGTTTGGGCTAAGGTCTTTCCACAAGTCTCTCTTGAACATTTATAGAAAAGAACACCTCAGTTCTGTTTAAGTGCTTCTTATGTGGCAAGTCAGATTTATATAGATTTTACACAGGCAACAATTAGCATCAGCCCCACAACCATTTCCTTCCAACCACACACTGGTAAGGAGAACCTGAAAGGTGGCAACAGCAATAAAGTTTTGTTGAGGAGCATGCCGCTAATACCAAAAATCCACAAAACATGTGGTTGTCAATAGCACTACTGCCAGAAAATGGAGAGACAGCTAAAGCAGCCCACTCCCTTCTCACCCTGGAGCACACTGAAGAGCAACTATCCAGGATGTTGCCCTGAAGAAGCTAGCATCAACTGAGCAGGGGTTCTTTCAACACAGTGTCACTATAAAGCGAGCAGGATTAAAAACTAGGTGATTTTGTATAGCCCTGCCTACAGAAGCAAATAGGAAAAACTCACTCCACTCAGTGGAGGAGAGTATTTCAGAGTAATAAAGCTAGCTGACTTACAGTGCATTAAAAAATCTGGCTCACCACAAACAGAAGACTAATATGAGCTATCAAAATAAACATACTGTTGTCCCATCACTAGTATTACTTTCTTTCACAGGAAATCAACACTGAAAGCCAACCTTCTAAAAATAATGTTGTAAAACTGTAGGCATGTAGGTGAAGTAGATGGTAGCTCATTGGTTAAAGTGATTGTAATCTTCACAGTCTCTCCTTGTCGGGTCTGACTAAACACTTCAGAAACCTGAGAATATTAAGTGACAAGTTAAATATCTTAAGATTTTGCTTTACATCAAAGGGACACACAGGTCAATCCCTTAAAAGTGGTTGTTGCCAATTTGGTGCCTGTGCCCACAGAGTCCCTTCCTGGTACCCACAGGATACCTTCCTCACCCACCTCCCAGCAAAATTAGACCTCAAAGCAGCATTCTATTAGTGTTTGCCTGGTTTTAGTGGACATGTGGTGCCCATACGTTTCTCTAGTTTGCAAATGTGTTCACAGCATAAACCAATAAAGCACCCAGCAGCAAACGGAATACACATCCCAAGCCATTTGAGCTTGTTGCTATGACCACCCTGAACTTCAGAGCCAAGGTGAAAAGCACACATAGTGTAGAAGATGCAGTGTGACTATTGTGTTAGAAAGGTTAGGCACAATTAGATTTTAAGAACTTTAGAGCCACCATACCTTGTTTTCCAGTTTCTTTGGCAAGAACAAAATTGTCCCATCAAAAGCATGCGTCCGCCCAATTAGGTCCTCGTGCTGAAACAGCAAAGCTGAACGAAGACGCCGGGCTTCCATTTGTGGATTGTAGTCAATGTGGTATTGGAACAAGGCCCATTGCGGACGAGAAGTCAGCCGAAAATGGTTTGTGCTTAATTTTATCAGAGTACCTGAAGCACCTGAAGAAAGGCATCCAGCTGCTATCAGCCATCTTTTGCTAGCAGAGAAGTTAGTAGTCATAGTACAGAACTCCAAGAGCCCCACCGGAATTTAATACAGGCATGGTGAGCCTTGGACTCCCTTTCCTCCCCCCTCCCACACTGGCCTTCATTTAGCTTTCTCTGCCACCTTGGAAATTTAAATAGTGGTTTGGGAGTTCAACAGAGCAGCTGCTAAATTAGAAAGGAATACAGCATCCTTATTTATTATTGCGTAGTACTTATAATTTACACATTCGTATGCTTTAGAATCGTGTACCTGTTTTAGAGTCTTTAACATGTGCCATTGATTGACGAGTATTTACGCCAAGGTCATGGAAGTCTCTGCGGCGTCCACCTCTTTCTCCCAATGACATTTCTTGAAAACCAGCTGAAATCTGAAGTTCTGCAATTTTGGGAGGAACTATCATGACTTGCACTTGTTTACCCCCACCCCCCCGAGCATCAGCAAGAAATTTCGGTCAGCTAAATCTTAACACTGCATCTCTTGGCAACCCAGAGTTGATGAAACAACCTTGATGACAGAAAGCGAGGAGGAATTAAAGAACCTTTTAATGAGAGTGAAAGAGGAGAGTGCAAAATATGGTTTGAAGCTCAACATCAAAAAAACAAAGATCATGGCCACTGGTCCCATCACCTCCTGGCAAACAGAAGGGGAAGAAATGGAGGCAGTGAGAGATTTTACTTTCTTGGGCTCCATGATCACTGCAGATGGTGACAGCAGCCATGAAATTAAAAGACGCCTGCTTCTTGGGAGAAAAGCAATGACAAACCTAGACAACATCTTAAAAGCAGAGACATCACCTTGCCAACAAAGGTCCATATAGTTAAAGCTATGGTTTTCCCAGTAGTGATGTATGGAAGTGAGAGCTGGACCATAAAGAAGGCTGATCACCAAAGAATTGATGCTTTTGAATTATGGTGCTGGAGGGGACTCTTGAGACTCCCATGGACCGCAAGAAGATCAAACGCATCCATTCTTAAGGAAATTAGCCCTGAGTGGTCACTGGAAGGACAGATCGTGAAGCTGAGGCTCCAATACTTTGGCCACCTCATGAGAAGAGAAGACTCCCTGGAAAAGACCCTGATGTTGGGAAAGATGGAGGGCACAAGGAGAAGGGGAAGACAGAGGACGAGATGGTTGGATAGTGTTCTCGAAGCTACCAGTATGAGTCTGACCAAACTGTGGGAGGCAGTGGAAGACAGGAGTGCCTGGCGTGCTCTGGTCCATGGGGTCACAAAGAGTAGGACACGACTAAACAACAACTACAAGGTTAGAGATAGTCTACAGTACCAACACTACTTCCAACGCTACCTGAAGCAAAGGGAGAAGTTTTTCAGTAAGTGCTTGGGCTAGTACCAGACAATGTTGAAACTGAAGCATAGATATATAAGCACTGCACACAAATGATTATGCGGTTAGGACTGCAAAATTATAATTTTAACTCTTGTATTATATAAATATTGTAAAATAAATAAAATAACTTGTTTTATTTCCACATTTCATAAACTCTCAGCAGTAAATCTTCCTTCTCATAGCAAATGCAAACAGGCAGTATCACAGCAGAAAACAGAAAAAGCTAAATGCTAATTAACTGAAACTTCTTGAAATCTAATGCTAATCCAAACAGCAACATAATATGGAGACAACAGGCTCTTTTGAACAACAGTGGTCTTCTGCTGCACTTACCTTGCGATCTTGGTGCAACAGGTCCTCTTTTTTGCCGCCCACGCCCAATTCGTTCTCCTTCAGCTGGTGGCTCAGCTTCAGGTTGCTGAGCTGCAGTTTGCATATAGGTAGGTGCCTGAACCTAAATAATTCAATAACAATTAGAAAAGAATGCTGGCCATTCACCATGAATATCCAAGGTGAAAGAGGCATCCAGATATGACTCAACTCCTAAAACTGCCCATGACAGGGAGATTCGTAGGTTATAAAAGGTTAGGTGGTTGTTCTAGGTGAAAAAGACTCTGCTGAAAGTTCCAGACAGGCCCCAATCTTTAGAGACAGTGAGGAGACTTGAGTACCAACAGCTGCCTGTGATACTATGGCTTCTGAACTGGCAAGAAGGCTCCTTCCTACTCTCATGCAGAGGGACTCATGGAGACCCACCCGCTCCAATAATATGGCCAGCAATCTGGACAAGGAATGAACCTCCTAGAAAACCTTTTGTGAAAGACCTGCAGTGGCCAACAAGCCAGCAGAAACAATGGTATTAAACCCACTCCCCACCAATCCAACCAGTCTACCTCTTCTTCTTTTGCTGTCCCTGAGGGTTGACCTTTGGCCACTAGCAACCATGCCAGACAACAAAAGGGAAGGAAAAACATTGTGGAAGGTATGAGGATGACATACAAAGATCCTTTACAAAAAAAGAGGAAAGCCAGAGAAGGAAGTGTAACTCTGAAAATCTGAATATCATTTCGTATTAAGCTTATGTCACCTGAGTTATTGGACACCTTATCAAAGCCCACAAATGGAAAATAAAAACACTTGTGTTGACTCTTGGGCACAAAGTCAAAGCTGTGCAAGGCTTTACTGGAATAGTTTCAGTGGGCTATTTTTATTAACCATCCAATGATTTTTTAAAGAAGTTTTAAAGAAAACTCAAACCAATGGAATATAAAACTATGCATGAATCAACACTCCCTATATCTAAATATCCAATCCTTAAGCTTTTAAACACTCACCATAGGTACTCCTACTGTAGGTGTAGCAGTCTCCTGGCCACGGGCCCTTCCCCTTGCTCTGGCTCTGGCTCTACCAGACATGGTTGCTCAAGTAACAAGCTGCAATTATTAAATGAAATGCACACATTTTGATTCCCTCATTTTCCAATAAGGTTAAAATTTTTCCACCAGCATTCAAGCCAAAGCCACACACTGGCTCATTCTAATTTCTGGACAACAAATGGAAAAGTCTTTGAGCACTATTAGAAGATGCTCAAAGAATGCTTTAAAAATAAAGGGCAAACCACAGATTAATAGTCTCATACTTTTTCTCCAACACTGAAACCAACACAAAACAAAGGCTGAAGGTTTCAGTGGAGGAAATGCAGGAAGGGCTGCTCAGTCACTTCCCTACATTAGCTTTTTTCTCATTCAAAAAAGACCCCCATGGTTTTTTGTCCTATAGGGTTAACTTGTGTTAACTTGGCCCCTGAATAGTTTGCTGAGCTTACACAATACCATGGTATTTGGAAAAAAATGTTCAACTTAGATCAGATGCTTTCTAGCATAGCACTTAAAATATGTTTAATATTTATCAGTTTTATCAAAATTGTGATGTAATAAATGTGCTCTCACCACTTTTGCATTAAAATAAAAGCATTTCTCTTGTATTTCATTTTGACCGCACACTCTTCAGTTTACTGTCCAATTTGTCAGATGTTAAAAAGCACTGAACAAGCAGCACATGTAGGCAGCAATTTGCATTTTGAGTGGACTCCTCTAAGATTAAGTTTATTCTATCATGTTTGCGTGAATCAGCTTTGGTTTATGCACCCAAATCTTTAAAACATCGTAGCAAATTCTTTTATTAACTTTGCTTTAGGAAAGCGTCACACTGCATGATTCTGGCCAGAATCATGATGCATTTTATTGAACATTGTTAACTAGGGGTTTTGCCCCTGCCCACCAACTCTGCTATTCCCTCTACATTAACTCCATTAGACTCTCCCTTCCCACCATGCAACTTCTAAGCTTGCTTTTCACCCACTATTCTTCAGTTCTTTCATCTTCAATCCCATCCCCACGCTGCCTACTTCCTTTTCGAAACCCCCTGTACACTCCATTTCCACCTTCACTTTTTCTATTGCCTTTCTTTTTTCAACTCTCCCCTGCACACCATTCTCATTACCCCTCCTCTGCTATTCCGCAGCCCACTTTGCACACACAAACCATGATTATATATTTTTTATTTATGCATGCTTTTAAGATGAATAGACTCCTAAGAGCAAGCTTGTCAGTTAGCTCATTCAGTTAGTGAAGGTTATGTTCACTTGACGGACGTTGCAGAAACAAGGGTGTTTGCTTGTTAATGAAAATATCATCTACATTACTACACTAAATCGGGAATTTCATGCTAATGATAGCACATGGTACCAGGAGTGAAACACATTATGTAAAGGTTCATGTCCTTCCTTTCTCACACAAGGCATCTGAGGAATGGGAGAAGTTTTGAGTAAAACAAGAAGGGAAGCACACAAAGGAAAATGGCTGTTTTAAACAATGGCAGAATTTTGAGTAAAGATTGCTTTTTTAAAAGAAACATGATTTAACAAAGCAAAATAGCAGCAATGGGTACAACTAGGAAGCTAATACAGGTGGGTGATATCTGGTTTTCAACATCGTGATATATCACCAGCTTAACATCATGATATACTACTATGTCACACTGTCTGAAATAAGGATGGAGCTATGTAAAAGCATTGGATGGTTTCACGGTTTTTCCCACATTGTGATTTTTGCAGAGCGCATGCACACACACTATGATTCACAATATATTGCCAGGTCAAATTATGAAACCAGTATCACTAAAGGGACTTCAAACTACTTTTGGACAATGTATCATCCAGCCCTAGAAGCTAACACCAAAAAGCTTACACAATTCCTGCGTAAGCTCCCATTCCCCTTCTCGTTTTACTCAAACCTCTGCCACTGCTGAAAATTGCCACTTGCCGACCTATCAATCCGTGCTTTACTCAAACTGCTGCTGCTGTTTAAAATTGTCATTTTCCTCCGCAATGAAACCAAGCAGGCTGCCAGAGAGACATAATTCTAACATCCTTCTTCTGCCGAGCCCCCAGTAGGCTAGCAATTTCTTATCTAAACTAGAAACTTTTGGAAGCTAATTTAGCAGGCTGTGAGGCTTCAAAGTAAAATTCACTGGAATTTATAGCAACCACTAGATACAGATATGCTTAGCTCTAAGACACAGTGTCCCATGGGGCTTATAAAATTGTATTTTAAGGCTCCCATTATTTAGAATTAAGCCATATTTAACTCAAGGAAACTCCCTTTCACGTAGAAATGAATGCACTTATACCTCTGACGAAAAAGGCTTGGGGTTATCACTACTTTGGTATGAAGGTTGTAACCTTCATTTTACACAAGTTAGATTAAATGGAAACAGCACATGGGGAAACCTACCGTCCCCCAAAACTCCACAAGGGAGATCTTACCCCAACAGCTCACCCTATGCCACACAAAGGAGGTGCTTCCCACAGCTGCCAGCTCACCACACCTCCACTCCCCAAAACCTACCTCACAGGATTGTTGCAAGGATAAAATGGAGAAAAGCAGCACGTACACCACCTTGAGCTCCTTTTGAGAAAAGGGAGAATATAAATTAAACTTTCAATTAAAATTAACATTTAAAAATTTACTCCAAACCTGTTACTACCTTTTTCTGGATTTCTGACCTATTTCTTCCTCCTTTCCTACCTTTCTCCTCACTCCACGTTCTCCACTCACCCCCTCTCCTTTCTGTATTCTTATTTTTACATACATTTCCCAACCCCTCTTCAACTGCTGTGCTATTCACTCACCAGTCTGAATGCAATAACAGACATAGACACAAGTCAATGCAGCAGCAGAATATGTATTATATTCATGTTATATTTAATATCAAAGTTCTATTTTTAGGGATAAAGCAAAAGTAGCAAGTAGATTCTTTGTTGTGTAGCCAACTACAGTAAAGGTATATACACACTTCCATCTCCTCTATGTTTCCCATGCATGGTTTACAACAAATGAGAATCCATGGAAAACCTGAATTGCCATTTGTTGCACTTCAGCTCTAAAGAGCAGGTTTTCATGGGGAAAGTCATGAGCAAGAGAAGTCACACATGGAGCAAAAGGTAAGCCCTGTAACAAGTAATCTGTTGAAATCAAAGGACCTACGTTAACCATGCCTAACTTAAGTGTACTGATTTCAATACTCTTACTTTTGAGAGGAGAGATGATTACTGATGAAACTACTGTGAACTCAGAAACTCTCAAGTCAGGTGTGCAGTATAAATTCAATGCAATCTTTTTGTTTTGTCACTTTGGAATGATCCTATAAAAGAGTTGGCCAGATATATTATAAAATCCAAATAATATATTAAATTATATCCCACCCTAGACTTTGAATGGCAGGATATAAACTAAATAAAAAATGTGTATTAAATTAATGGGACACACAGCATCTTCAATATCACAAACACACATGCATGGGCTATGCCCAACTAACATCAACTTAAGACTAAACCCACCAAAATTAATGGGTCAAAGTTAATTAAATCCAGAGCAGATGCAATGAAATCAATAAACATGACTAACACTGGATGTACTTCCGTGATTGCAGTTTACCTGAGAATAAGTCCCAGCAACCTTCTTTTGAGTACACATGTAAATGACCCAAACACACAAAATACACACTGCTGCTATTACTGTGTAATGTTTTCATTTAAAAAACCCTACAGTATTATGGAATAAAAGTTTGCTTGCATTTGTAACGTAAACTCAAGAGTAGATACATGGACATGTATCCAATTTTAATCATACTCAACAGTAGACCTACAGAAACTGGTAATCATGACTAATTGTAATAGTATGCCAAACTGAGATCAATGAGAAGCTACAGTGAGGGGGGGAAAGTATTTGACCCCCTGCTAAATTTGCCCATTTGCCCTCTGACGAAGAAATGACCAGTCCATAATTTTATTAGTTGGTTTATTGTAGCTGTGACAGAATAACAGCAAAACCCCCAGAAACCCAGAAGACAAAAGTCAGAGATTGATGTGCATCATAATGAGTGAAATAAGTATTTGATCCCCTATCAACCCGCCAGATGTCAGGCTACCTGGTATCTTCACTGTATGTAACAAGCTGAGATTAGAAGCACCTGCTGTAAGGGTCTTACCTGTAATCCCAGCTCGTTACAGTACCTGTACAAAAGACACCTGTCAACGGAAGCAATCAAACCAGCAGATTCCGAAATAGCCAAGCAGCTTGGTGAGGTGACAAGTTGGTGCAATAATTCGTAAATGGAAGAAACACAAAATAACAGTCAACCTCCCTCCGTCTGGGGCTCCACGCAAGATCTCATCTCATGGAGTTGCAATAATCAAAACGGTGATGAAGCAGCCCAGAACCACACGGGGGGAATTTGTCAATGATCTCAGGGCAGCTGGGACCATAGTCACCATAAAAACAGTTGGTAACTCACTACGTCGTGACGGACTGAGATCTTTCAGAGCCCGCCAGGTCCCCTTGCTCAAGACAGCACATGTACAGGGCCGTCTGCAGTTTGCCAATGCACATCTGAATGACCCAGAGGAGAACTGGGTGACAGTGTTGTGGTCAGATGAGACCAAAATTGAGCTCTTTGTCATCAACTCAACTCGTGTTTGGAGATGGAGGAATGCTGCCTACGACCCCAAGAACCATCCCCACTGTCAAACATGGAGGGGGACATATTATGCTTTGGGGCTATTTTTCTGCTAAGGGGGCAGGTCACGTTCACCGCATTGAAAGGACGATGGATGGGACCATGTATTGTCAAATCTTGGGTAAGCACCTCTCTCCCTCAGCCAGGGCATTGAAAATGGGTCGAGGATGGGTATTCCAGCATGACAATAACCCAAAACACATGGCCAAGGCAACAAAGGAGTGGCTCAAGAAGCACATTAAGGTCCTGGAGTGGCCTAGCCAGTCTCCAGACCTTAATCCCATCAAAAATCTGTGGAGGGAGCTAAAGGTTCGAGTAGCTACACATCAGCCTCAAAATCTTACTGACTTGGAGAGGATCTGCAAAGAGGAGTGGGACAAAATACCTCCTGAGATGTGTGCAAATCTGGTGGCCACCTACAAGAAATGTCTGACCTCTGTATTTGCCAACAAGGGTTTTGCCACCAAGTACTACAGTAAGTCATCTTTTGCAAAGGGATCAAATACTTATTTCATTCACTATAATGCACATCAATATGACTTTTGTCTTCTGAGTTTCTGGGGTTTTTCCCGTTACTCTGTTTCTCACAGCTACAATAAACCTACCATTAAAATTATGGACTGGTCATTTCTTTGTCAAAGGGCAAACGGGCAAATTTACCAGGGGATCAAATACTTTCCCCCCTCGCTGTAGGAATAACTAATTCAGGTCCAATAATCTAATATGCATCTGGCTCTAACAGAGCTTTCTTTCTTAAAAAAATTATTTATACCCTAGTTTTATATATTAAAGTTTTCCAAGGCAATTTACAAGGGAACCATCCATATATATATATTTACACACAGGTTTTTAAAAGCAACAAATAAGGCAGGAACTAAAAAGGGGGGGCAACCCCACCCCACAGCCAATACCTTTTTTCATTAACCTAATGAAACATTAACGAAGTGGAGACACTCTGCACGTGCACAGAGGGACTGCAGGCCTAAGACACCACCATTCCACAACCTGTTTTAAACAAACAAAAAATCCCAAATAATGTGGGAGCTAAGAAAGCCATCAACCCACCCCACCCCACCCTCACACACAAAACCCAAAGCAAATACCTTCTTTGTACATGCCCAGAGGCACCGCAGGCCTGAGGCAACACCCTGCCACCATCTGCCTTGATAACTTGAGGGTTTGATGCTAACAGCAACGACGATTTTAAAATCCTGAATGTAATTATTGCTTAAAAATTAATTTAGAACATCCCGAAGAGTGCAGGAGCTATTAAGAGAGCCGTCGGCTCCCCCCCCCCAAATAAAACACAACAAAAACTCGAAGCAAACACTTGATTTGCGAAGGCACTCTGCACATGTGCAGAGGCACTACAGACCTGAGAACTTGCCTTGATAATTTGAGGAAGGTCGAACCCCCTTTTCACCCCAGCGCCCACGGCCCCTTTTGTCCCGCCCACCAGCGACCGAACCCCGGGAGACGTTAGAACGGGCCTTCCAACCGCTCCTAAGAGGCGTTGGTGCGACGGTTAAACGGCCTTTTATAGACCCCGGGAGGAGCACGTGTCCGCTGACCCCGCCCACAACTCACACAAAAAAACAGGGGCTACGCCCTAACGGCTCTTTCCACCTTGTGAAATGGAATTGGTCATGGCCGTCATAAAGAAAATAAAATCCCTCCGCGACACGTGACGAACCTCGCCCTTTGAATCCCCGGTACCGTTGGCCCTTTTTCTCACACGGACCCCCCCCCCCTAGCCTTTTTTTTTTTTTGTCGTATTCCTCGTCGCAAAAAAAGAAAGGTAGAAAATAATAACGACGTTATGTTTAGGGATATTTTTCCCCACGCGCGTGTTCTCCGCGGATGAACTCCATTGACGAATCACCCTCCCTCGCAAAGCTTCGAAAGCGAGGGAGAAGCGCGCCGAGCTCTGATTGGTCCTCGTGACCTCGCCGTCCCTCCCGCTCCTTCTGACAGGCATGTGATGCCGAACGTTTCCGAAGCCGGTCGGTTGCCGCCGGCGGCGGCTCAATGGGAAGCGTACGGTATTTACCCCGCTCTGCGAAAGAACCGAAAGCTACCGAGGAGCCCCGAAAGTTACCGAAGCGACCCGGAGTTTTGGACGCGCTAGAGAGAGAACCTCAGGTTCGCTGGATTTAGAAGCGGTAGCTGCGCTCAGTCTTTTTAATTGGGCAGTTTTCCTATTTGTTAATAAAACAAAATGTTCTATTTTTCATCGACCCCAAATAATTAATCAATCAATCAATCAATCACTGTCAGGACTGCAATCAAAAAGACACAGCACAAAAGGAAAGTGGGGTGGGGAGGGAGAAGGAAATATTTGATTTGATTTATTGTATTTCAGTGCTGCTTTTCATTCATATGAATCCCAAAGCGGCTTATAAACAATAATAAAACATAATGCAACATCACAAATAAAGCAGAAATCATATAAAATAAAGCATCAATAAATCAATTAGTCTTTAAAACACTATTAATAAAGAAACAAACACCAGCATCTGATTCTTAATCATGGCCAGCTTGACGGGAAACAGGTTTTTTTAATGAAAGAGAGAGAGAAAGAAAACCATCTAGCAACCCATAGTTCTTGGAAGTGGCTGTGATGTTCCTGCTTAATTGCCTGTGCTGGTTGGCAATTGCTAGCAGGTTGGCTTCTGTTTTTAAGTTTGGCACGTGGCTAGGAAGCAATATATGTCTCTCCCACCAGATGGAGCAGTGAATCAAGAAATCAGATAAATTAAAAAACTAAGGTAGATTAAGATTACCGCGACTTTCTAAGCATCTTATTAGGTTTGCCTAAACCAGTGATGGCCAAACTTGGCCCTCCAGCTGTTTTGGGACTACAACTCCCATCATCCCTGACCACTGGTCCAGTTAGATAGGGATGGTGTGAGTTGTAGTCCCAAAACATCTGGAGGGCCGAGTTTGGCCATCACTGGCCTAAACAGAAATGTTTCTCGCAGACACCAAAAAGAGCACAGTGAAGGTGTCTGCTTGATCTCAATCGGCAGGGAATCCCAAAGTTCAGGCACTGCCACACTAAACGATTGAGTTCTTTCACATGTGGGACGGGTATTACGAGGCAGTTGCAGTAAATAATTCACATACATACGGTATTCTGCATATAACCCATGAAAACATAATACAACTATGCCACAGAAAGGAGCAAATGAAAAGAAAATGAGTAATATCAACACTCAAGGAAGTAATTGACCAATTTTAGGGTTGCCATATTTCAAAAAGTAAAAACCAGGACACACTAGTTTGAGGGGTTTTTTTTAGGAGGACCCCAAAATGGACAGTGGAATTTGCTGCCAAGGAGTGTGGTGGAGTCTCCTTCTTTGGAGGTCTTTAAGCAGAGGCTTGACAACCATATGTCAGGAGTGCTCTGATGGTGTTTCCTGCTTGGCAAGGGGTTGGACTCGATGGCCCTTGTGGTCTCTTCCAACTCTATGATTCTATGAAAATTCTTGAGCTTTTTCTTTTTTTATTGACTTGCCCAACTTTCAGAAATTTCCCCCAGGCATCAATCCCGGAGATGTCCAGGAAAATCTAGACGTATGGCAGCCCTACTGATTTGATGAGAGTCTGGATAGAACAGGTGTTGGTTAACTTTTTCAACCAAGGGGCCCCCATCCCATTCTGAGAAGTCTACGAAGGGAGTGCACGCCAGTGGAGTAACCTATGGAAATTTGACCTCTGTACTGTAGGCTATGGAAGGGACGTGGGTGGCACTGTGGGTTAAACCACAGAGCCTAGGACTTGCCGATCAGAAGGTCGGCAGTTTGAATCCCCGTGACGGGGTGAGCTCCCGTTGCTCGGTCCCTGCTCCTGCCAACCTAGCAGTTCGAAAGCACGTCAAAGTGCAAGTAGATAAATAGGTACCGCTCCGGCGGGAAGGTAAACGCCGTTTCCGTGCGCTGCTCTGGTTTGCCAGAAGCAGCTTCGTCATGCTGGCCACATGACCCGGAAGCTGTATGCCGGCTCCCTCGGCCCATAAAGCGAGATGAGCGCCGCAACCCCAGAGTCGGCCATGACTGGACCTAATGGTCAGGGGTCCCTTTACATTTACCTTATGAGCATAGCCAGGATTTTTGTTGGGGTGGGGGTGAGAGGACTTGGTTTGTGGGGGGGGGAGCAGAACCGATGTGATTGGTCAGTTAAGTATTTCTATTGTTTTACTTGATCTGGGAGGGACAGCTCCATTGGTTACACCCATGGAGAGGGTGCAAAGCTGGGTAAGTAGGGTGTTTGTTCTGGTAAGTTTCCTGAGGGTCAAACAGAGGTTTGGATATCCACATTCAGCCCCCAGGCCTGTGGTTGACCACCCCGGGATAGAATCTCATTTCAAAAACCACTTTATCAAAAGCACTTTATGTTATAAACTTCATAATAGGTCCTTTGTTTTTAAAGCACTGTGGGGGGGGGTTGGAGTTGGGGAAGTGTTTGGGGAGGTTAAGAGGGTGAGATGAACCAATGTTTTAACGTGAAGGCATGTAAACACCCAGCCAGCAAATCAGGATGTCCATCGTCATATACCTGGTCCTCAGACAAATCACAAAGCCTCCCCATAGGCTTTGTGCAGGCAAATTGGGGAGAAAGCTTCAACCAACAGGTCGTCCAGAGCTCTAAGGCAACTGCTTCATGGCTTTTAGAAAGATCTTGTCAAAGGGATCCTGGGGAGACTGGTTTGAATCCCCAGCCCCTGGGAAGATCTCACTCCCCATTACCACAAAAAAGAAGAAAAATCATTGGCATTTGGGTGCTGCTGTTTGACCATTAAAACCCAATTTTCTTTTTGTGTGAGGTTATGTGTGAGGTTATACAGGGATGCGGGTGGCGCTGTGGGTAAAACCTCAGTGCCTAGGACTTGCTGATCGTATGGTCGGCGGTTCGAATCCCCGCAGCGGGGTGAGCTTCCGTTGTTCGGTCCCAGCTCTTGCCCACCTAGCAGTTCAAAAGCACCCCTAAAGTGCAAGTAGATAAATAGGTACCGCTTTATAGCAGGAAGGTAAACGGCGTTTCCGTGTGCTGCGCTGGTGCTGGCTCGCCAGAGCAGCTTCGTCACGCTGGCCACGTGACCCGGAAGTGTCTCCGGACAGCGCTGGCTCCCGGCCTCTTAAGTGAGATGAGCGCACAACCCTAGAGTCGGACACAACTGGCCTGCACGGGCAGGGGTACCTTTACCTTTACCTTTTATGGCCATAACTGCAATCCGGTCAGTTACTGCTATGATCTCTGCCACAGTCTCAATTAGGTGGCCTTTGTCTCAGCCTCAGTCCCCCATCTGCAATATGGGGATAATGACAGCCTGCCTTCAAGGGCTGCCAGAAAGATTACTTGGTCGTCCATGTGCACTTTACGGAATGCTTGAGAGGAGAAGCATTCTCTCATGTATAAACTGTGACTCTGCAGAGCTTTATTTAAGACATGCAAATTTTTCCGTTCTCCAATGTGCATTGTTTTCTTATTTCCCTAAATGATTATGTGTTGTTTTTTCTCCCTCTTAAGGATTGTGTTCTTATATGGATTATTTTCATCTTATCTGGTTGTGTTGTAAACAGCCCTGTGATTTGCCCATTTCTCTATAAATTTATTTTCTTGATGGCTTTTGTATCACAGTCTTCTTACATGTCGATTTTACTACTATGATAGTTTGCCAAGGATTTCATCCAGTTTGTGTTTGGTGGGATATCTTTTGTGTACATTGGTTTATTGTTGTTATTAATTTTTTTTTGTCATTCTGTTCCAGAATGTTTTCAAATGGAGTTTTTTTTAAGCGTTTTGCTTGCAATTGCTGCATGATGTGTCTTAATTGGAAGAACTGAGAAAGCTGGTGGCTTTTGCTGCTTGTTCATGTGATAGTGTTCAAACCAGGTACTGTACTTTTAACAGATTATCGAATGAGGATGGTATCCAAATCATCTAAATCCATCCATTTCTGCTTGCTTCATTCAGTTATTAGGAAGGAGAGAGAAAAATGTTGCGCTGCACACTGAAACTATGCTCAGCTCTCTCCCCAGCATAACTTCAGAAGTGGCACATTCATGCTTGCCTGTGCTCAATCTTACGGACTAGAAACTTGGGTTTAAAAACCAACAAGAAATTGAAAGCTGAGATGATTTGAATGCTGAATTACACACCAAAAGGCACTTGCCTGAGGTTCGTGCAGTGAACTATGGAACAATTATACACACAGCTCTGGGTATGTGGCAAGACTCCAACTATATCAATAAACACATCACCTGTATCCTGTATGAAAAAGAATTGGCTGATGCTTTGCTTTGATGTTTGTTTTGCCCCCATGATGCAGCTGGCTGTGTGTATGTGTGCATGGGGAAAGTGGGAGGGGGGGGACTGGTCTGCGCTGCCTCCTGTTGCTTACAATAAGCCATTTCCCATACATGTCATCTCCAAAGCAGAGGGGATAGAGAGGAGGGAAGACCATATGGAAGCAGAACAAAGAAAACAGAACAAAAAAGAAATCGGGGAAACTTTCAAAAAGTCCATTTGATGTGCAAGTATAAACAGGAAAATGATGCCTCGGGACTCGGGAGCCAGGAATTGCACCATCAGACAGCTGTTAGCTTATGTTGTTTAATACCACAGTGAGACCCAGTGCAACTGTGTTTTTTCAGGCTTTCTGGCTTCTTGGGGAGTCCTTTGCACGTCAACCTGTCTCTCAAGGAACCCCTAATCAGGGGTGTAGGATGGAGGGGGGTGACAAATTATCAAGGAACAATTACTGCCCTACTAGGGCAGTTCATAAAAAACTTTTTTTAAAAAATGCCTGCTCCAAAGGTCTTATTTTACTACACTAGGGATTATATAGCTATAGATGAAATTTCATACATATCAGTTAACATCTTGACCCTCCTCCACGAAAATAGCTGTTTACTTTGCCGTTTTCCTATGTCGTGAAGGCTGAAATTTCAATTCTGTGGAGCACTTACTGTCCCCAACCCTAACCCTGTGGAAAGCCATCTAATTAGATTTAATTTGATTTTGACATGTTTTTAGGAGGTAAATTAATTATTGTTTGATTTTATACCAATGTTATGTATCTGATGTTGGCCGCCCTGAGTCTGACTTCGGCCGGGGAGGGCAGGATTTAAACAAAAGTTTATTATTATTATTACTACTACTTATTATTATTATTCCTTTGTAAGAACATAAAACCATTTTTGCAGACCAGAAAAAATAAATAAATGTGTGTGGGGGGGTGACAATAAATTTTCCGCACCGGGTACCACCTTACCTTCCTGTGTCTCTGCCCCTAAGCCAGGGATGTGGAAGCTCTGGCCCTCTAGACATTGATTTATTTGGTTATTTCATTTAACAGCATTTCCAGCCACTTCATATTTCCAAAATGAAATAAATTTCTAAGCAGTGTACAACATAAAAGCAATATTCATTAAAAAATAAATACCACCTAAAACCTGGAAAACAACAGTATAAAAACGTGCAAAAGCAATTAAAACAAAGACTTGGGGTGGTATTCATGCATATAAAACAAGGTTCAGTCTTATGGGTCAGGGAAAGCCGGGACAATTATCATTTATCTTTATTATATATTTGTTTATACCCCACCTCTTTCCCTGAGAGGGACTCCAGGAGGCTTACAGCTGAAAACATGGGGGGGGGGCACCAATCATTAAAAAGCTTTAAACATTAATAGAATTAGAACATATATAAGAACCTGCAGATTAATTACAATAAAACAGCACAGCACCAGCCCTTTCATTAAAAGCTGTCAGTTTGCCAAAGCCTGTTGGAACAAGGTCTTCATCTGCAGAAGGACCACAAGGAGGGAGGCAGTCTTAACTCTAGCTTCACCAGGGAGGGAGTCCCAAAGTCTGGGAGCAGCCACCGAGAAGGCCCTCTCCTGCATCCCCACCAAGCATGCCTGTGAGGGTGACTGACAGAAGGGACTCTCTAGAAGATCTCAGAACCCAGATGAGGGAATGTGCACAAAAAATACATCTAAACAAACAAACAGAGGTTGCTGTTTCTGCAGTAGCAGAAAACCCTAATATTTGGGTCAGCGCCTAATGGCATCCTGTAGGGTTTTGTGCCATGAGTAGAATTTTGCCAGATGATCTAAGTAATCTTTCAGGTCTATACAGGAGCAGGCAGTCTTTCTGATAAGCTGGACCTGAATCATAAAATCATAGAATCATATCATTGTAGACTTGGAAGGGACCCTGAGGCTCAGCTCGTCCAACCCGGGGGGGGGGGGGCAAAGTTGATGGGCATTGCCATTCAAATTGTGTCTTCTTTTTTTAATCTGACTCTTATTAAATTTTCTGTTTTATAATTTTGGATAAACATTTTGCATACTTAAGATATCAATGACTTCCCTTCCTCTCTTTCCATGGTTCATTTTACATATCTTATATCCCTTCATATTTAACAAAAACGATACCAGTCGGTTTTTCATCATGCCTTGTTTTTGATTATGTGGGGTGGTGGGGCTTACCTGCCCCCCCAATATTTAATTCAAATTGGCACCCCTGAGAGAATGGGACAAACGAGGGAGCATCTCCACACAATCTTAGGGACCAGGCAATCTAATTCCAGAGGGAAAATGAGGAAACTCCAAAATATTACCAGCCATTTCTTCCCGTCTCTGGCCCATTCAAGCTGGGCCTAAGCAAATTCCACAGCACAGCTGTGGTTAAGGCTTAAAAAACAAGCACACCCAATTCCTTCACCTCAGCTAAGTTCATTTTCTGTTGTTGTTGCTGTTGTTGATGGCAATGAGCGCCCAGCCTCAGGCCCAGAGCACTCCTCGTAAACATCAGGAAATACCCAAAGCTGCTGAGAGGATTAAAGCGTTGATATGAACCTCAGATCTCTGCTTTAAAGCCCTGGCGTACAGCAAATCTGGCAACATGGTAGAGGAAGGAGTAATTGCCCAAGTACGTTTTCTTGAGTTGCAAAAACTGCTTTTGACACGTTTGCTTTGGGGGGGGGGGACCTCTGCTGGTGATGTGCATGATGATGAGCAGCCTAGTAATGTGATGGTTCTCTAGAATGAGCTCCATCAGCCTTAATGTACCCTCTGAAAACCCATCTAAGGTGGATCAAATTTTTAGGGAGCTAATTCTTGAGATCTCTCTGTCTCTCTGAGTTAGAAGGATGCAGTGTGGCACAGGTCAGATGTGCAAGGTCGCCAACATACTGCTGGACTGAAATTGGCCGCTGGGTCTTAAAGTTTCACTGAGTTAGGGATTTCCCCTGCGTACGAAGAAGGGCTCCGGTTAATTGACCCAACAGTGGGTCCAATGGTCAAGAAGAAGAGTTTGGATTTGATATCCCGCTTTATCCCTACCCGAAGGAGTCTCAAAGCGGCTAACATTCTCCTTTCCCTTCCTCCCCCACAACAAACACTCTGTGAGGTGAGTGGGGCTGAGAGACTTCAGAGGAGTGTGACTAGCCCAAGGTCACCCAGCAGCTGCATGTGGAGGAGTGGGGAAGCGAACCTGGTTCACCAGATTACGAGTCTACCGCTCTTAACCACTACACCACACTGGCTGGTGGCGGTTGCTGCACGTGCTCCAGTTGAAGCTCGTCAACCTGCTGAAGTAGCTCATCTAGGAGAAGGAGAGCTTGATCCTAAGCCTCTGCTGCCTTGTGGGATATCTTGGATGGTTGCAAAGGTGCATGCCCTTGGTTTTTACCACTTTAACACTCAGAGCTCACCCCATCACAGATCTCCAGTTCCCAGCACACATAAACTACAGTTCCCAGGGTTCCTAAGGTGGAGCCATATGCTTTAAATGCATTGGGTTGTATCAAATGCTAGTTCTACTCAAGAGTTGGTTCTTTAGATTAGTGGGCATGCCCAACCATTCATTTCCATGGGTCTACTCTGGATGGAACAGAGTTGACTGCAACTCATTGTGTGGATGCGACCTTAGTGGAAATAATATAAAATACACATACTAGCAGCCTTATATAGTGGTACCTAGCGTTACATACGCTTCAGGTTACATACGCTTCAGGTTACAGACTCCGCTAACCCAGAAATAGTGCATCAGGTTAAGAACTTTGCTTCAGGATGACAACAGAAATCGTGCTCCGGCGGCACGGCAGCAGCAGGAGGCCCCATTAGCTAAAGTGGTGCTTCAGGTTAAGAACAGTTTCAGGTTAAGTACGGACCTCCGGAACGAATTAAGTACTTAACCCGAGGTACCATTGTATACAGCATTACATGGGAAATTCTGTTGTTGTTGCTGTTTAGTCGTTTAGTTGTGTCCGACTCTTCGTGACCCCATGGACCAGAGCACGCCAGGCACTCCTGTCTTCCACTGCCTCCTGCAGTTTGGTCAAACTCATGCTGGTAGCTTTGAGAACACTGTCCAACCATCTCGTCCTCTGTCCTCCCCTTCTCCTTGTGCCCTCAATCTTTCCCAACATCAGGGTCTTTTCCAGGGAGTCTTCTCTTCTCATGAGGTGGCCAAAGTATTGGAGTCTCAGCTTCAGGATCTGTCCTTCCAGTGAGCACTCAGGGCTGATTTCATTCAGAATGGATAGGTTTGATCTTCTTGCAGTCCATGGGACTCTCAAGAGTCTCCTCCAGCACCAGAATTCAAAAGCATCCATTCTTTTATGGTCCAGCTCTCACTTCCATACATCACTACTGGGAAAACCATAGCTTTAACTATACAGACCTTTGTCGGCAAGGTGATGTCTCTGCTTTTTAAGATGCTGTCTAGGTTTGTCATCGCTTTTCTCCCAAGAAGCAGGCGTCTTTTAAGAAACCCCTAAATCTGTGCAGTCTTGAACTCAGCGGTCAACATCAATGCAGCGCTGAAAGATTCTGGCTGCCATATTGTTTCAAAATAGTACCCAGCTGTATCCCAACATAGATGAAAACCTAATTCTTGGTCTTAGGAACCTTCATGCAAAATTTGGTTTTATCTTCAGAGATCTCCGAATGCATAGTGAACAGATACGTTTCCAAAATTTATAGTGTGTGTGCATGCTATTTATATATACCATCAGCTGGATGGTTCCCCGGCTGAGCCTTTAACTCCAGAGTGCCAAGAGTCCAAAGCCTTTGTCCTACATTTAGGCTCCCATGGGGTGGGGCAGGGATATAAAATCAGGGTCTCATACTGCAAAAAGTTGTTTGGGATTCAGGCATTGTGAATCTGACCCTCAAATTCAGTTTCCCAGGACTGTCAGACCCTTTGGGAATAATCTAGGGTATCTACTTATCTGTCTGTCTGTAGCTAGCTAGCTAGCTAGCTAGCTATTCCTTTTTCAAAAAATAAATAAAATTAATTCCCAACTTCTAAGGGTTTTTTTGTTTTTAGTTTTTAGCTTGCTGTGTGTTTGAAAACACTTCAGGGGGAAATGTGGTGGCCAGCAGAGAGTGCCTCTTTTTGAAAGACATTCCTTTGTTAAATTCCTTCCCCAAGGGGACGGAGAGTTGGGAAAGAGAGAGGTTCTCAAACACCTGGGGGCAGCCACGGACTCTTTCCAAATGACCTCATAAATTATCAAAGTGTTACAATGCTTGATTTGTCAACCTCTGCTTCATCAGCTATTTATGGAGTGCTTGTAAACTGGGAGCCAAATGCGCTTGCACCCCCCTCCCCACCCACCCCAGTAAAATGCTTGCTTGTCCTTTTTGCTCTTTGAATGTTTCATAGGCACCGTCCGGTGCTTTTATCCTATTCTGTTTGGGGGGAGGGCGCTGATTATAATTTGATGCATCTATTTTATTTCTCAGAGTGGGTACTAATGCGGCAGTAAGGGGGAAAGCAGAACATCGGGGGGTGGGGGGGGAAGGACGGAGGGGAGAGATTGCGGGAACTTTCCAAACAGGGATGACCAATGACTTCTGTCACTTGAGATTATGGACAGGGAACTTCTTCTTCTTTGGCGATCACTCGTAGCCGAGTAAGATTGTCTTCCATAAACACGGTTTTAACAATGAGTCTGTAAGTGACTGTGGAGGCCAATTCTGGATCCACACATCCTTCTACAGTGGCGACATTGGTTTCCGGGTGGGAGTTGATCACGGTGTGGATTTGCCAAGCATGCCTTCCTCTTAGCACGTTT